GGGAGACGTTGATCATAAATATCATCACACATACAGACATATTTGCATATTAAAAACATTACAGCTGTTTACAGGTTTATGCAAACAATAACCTACTCACCAATCTTGTCTGTTTTTCTAGTGCCAATAATTTATCCACGGCATCATTGAGTTTTCCATCCTGAAATACAGAATAGTAGTCTAAATAAATATCTATCGCTAAAGTAAAAAGGCAAAAATCACTAAACTTCATTTTTCAAATAATACGGCCGAAACCAGATAATACAAAAGAAACATGCGACTACTGAAAGACCTGTGCCAAGGGGTCTGAAAAGAATCAGGAAACACAAAAACACTAATGGTTTGATATCGGTACAGCAATGGTCTTACCTGCTGCTAATTAATAAACAAAAGATGATTGGCACGAAATACAGTGGTTGTGAACATGGCTCGTAAATTATAATAAAATAAACCTGGATAATGAAATAGCAACACAGGAATCTATTACAAAACGAAAAAATCCTAAATTCTGCTACAATGCAAAACAGTTCTCACCGCTGCAACTTGTTGGCATTCTGGAATTACCCTGTCCACCGTTGTTGAGTAATCAACTTCCATCTTCTCTAGTTTACCTTCGGACGCCATTATTTATTTCCCAAAATCGCGTTGTACAAGAGAAATTATCAATGGTATTCAAGCGCAGACAGCAGACTACAACAACACGCTCAACTCAGATTATGCCGTGTAATGTTATCAGTATTACTAAGCAGAAATGTCGCCACCTAGTAAAACCCTCAACAAATTGCGGAAGGTGATATCGGGTTAAATTCATTTATATTAACGTAAATATATAAACAAACCTGCCTGAAATGACAAACTATATTTTAAATAAATATATTTGTTAATTTTTGAGCTATTCTTTGCCTCTCGCAGGATTAGTTTTCATGAATAATTTGACGGAGACTCTCTAAATATTGTAAAATTCAACTTTAAATATAAGTATAAAAAGGTGTTAAAACGACATCTTCTGCCGATTTTTTTCTAAACCAATCAAAACAAGCAAAGTTTTGTGTTATAACCTACGATGCACGATCCCGTTGCAACATTTACAAAAAAAGAATACCTGCGACCGGATACGACTCCTTGCACAATGGTCACTTGCGCCCACTCGCGGAGATAAATTTGGTTCATCCAAATGTTATTCCACGTTGGAGAGTAGGGTGTAATTTCGAAGTGTTTCATCATGCAGTCAGGCCGTAGTATTTATTGGACACAAGTGGACCAATGCATCGTTTTATTTTTATGTTGTTGTTGTTTTTCTCGGTATTTTTCTTCCTATCGTTATGAAAAAATGACTTTTTGAGCATAACTCTATCAGTATATTGTTAGTTTATACGGTACCGGTACCGTACAGCTGTAGAAAGCAATTTATTGCTGGAGGCTGGAGCTGCAAGTGCAGTTTTAAGTATTCCATGGCGTCTGCAGCTGCCGCAAAACCATGGCGGTATTTCCATACCATGGCCGCTACGGCCAAACCTATGGCGACTGACTTTTTAGCTGCCACAAACCAATGTCGAGCTGCCGTTACCGCGGCAGCAAATTGAAAACCAATGGCAAGTAAAATTTTGCTGCCGTAACCGCGGCAGGTGGGCCGTAAGGACAGGGCTGTCCCTTATGGTGACAAATATTGGGTAAGTTGGAACGTTTTTCTTATGGATACAGTCTTGATGGATTTGGGGTTAGGGTTAGGGTTTAAGTAGATATAATTCCGCATGATCAATTAGAATTTGGTACATTAGTTTGTGAATATACCGTTAATACTGATTACTGAATACAGAATAGCGCTATAAAACCATGGCAAGAGCTGCCGCGGTTCGTTCGTGGCAGGAGCTGCCATGAAGTGGTAAGAACTGCGCCTCTGGAGCTGTGCCATTCTGCCATCGGTGCAAATGACATATTTAAAGAATTTCATTTCGTATTAGTGCTGTGATTTATTTTTTATTAATGAAATGTCTTTTTTTACTAGGATAGTGCATTGCAACTTATCGTAATTCATTTCAGCACTATTCAGTAAATATGGCTGAGAAAGAAGTTGATTCAGCAACTGAGTTATTGCAATACTTGGATTTGAATGTACGTGTCAACTCAATTTCGTACGCAAAAACCAAAAATTTGGAACATCAAAAAATTGTCGGTTTAATAAAAAGCTTACAAGTTCATGAAGGCGTAATAGACGCCTCACAGAAAACAGATAAGAATTGGGTTCTCTCGACCGAAGGTAAAAAGCTTGAATCAAGTGGAAGTTATGAGTTTAATATTTTTAAAAGAGTTCCAGCAGATGGTATTGCCCAATCTGAACTGGTAAAAGATAAAAATGATAAAATTGGCTTCAGCAAGGCGATGTCTAATAGATGGATCAAAGTGGACAAATCGGGTGGCGCACCGAAGATTTTTGTCGCTGATGGCGTAAACCCAACTGATATTGTTAGAGATAATTTATCAAGAATAAAACAAGGATCTCCCATTCCTGACAAAGACAGGGCGGAGTTGAAAAAACGTAAATTAGTGGAGGAAGTCACTATAAAGAGTTTTGATGTTACGAAAGGTGTAAGGTTCACAACGAAAATTGAGAAGGCAGCAACGGATCTCACTGCTCAAATGATACAAGATGGCTCATGGAAAACAACAACTTTTAAAGATTACAACTACTCTGCGATGGGTATCAAACCTTCAGCAGGACACTTGCATCCCCTTTTGAAAGTACGATCTGTTTATCGACAAATATTTCTTGAAATGGGGTTCACAGAAATGCCAACGAATAATTATGTAGAAAGCTCATTCTGGAATTTTGACGCCTTGTTCCAACCTCAGCAACATCCAGCTAGAGACGCTCATGACACTTTTTTCATTTCCGACCCTGCGGAGTGCGACACTTTTCCAGCTGATTATGCAGAAAAGGTTAAAAGAGTTCACTCAGAAGGTGGTTTTGGTTCGCAAGGGTATTGTTACGACTGGAAGTACTCGGAAGCAAAGAAAAATTTACTTCGTACTCACACTACAGCTGTGAGCGCCAGGATGCTGTATAAACTTGCTAAAGAAGGATTTAAACCCAGTAAATACTTCTCAATAGATAGAGTGTTTCGAAACGAATCTTTGGACGCAACTCATCTCGCCGAGTTCCACCAAGTGGAAGGTGTAGTTGCAGATTACAGCGTAACTCTTGGAGATCTTATGGGAGTGTTACAAGCGTTCTTTCATAAACTTGGTATTACAAAATTACGTTTCAAGCCAGCTTACAACCCATACACTGAACCATCAATGGAAATATTCAGCTACCACGAAGGACTCAAAAAATGGGTAGAAGTTGGAAATTCTGGAATTTTCCGCCCCGAAATGTTATTACCAATGGGCCTTCCGGAAGATGTTAATGTTATCGCATGGGGTTTGTCATTAGAACGTCCGACAATGATAAAATATGGTATAGATAATATCAGGGATTTGGTCGGCCATAAAATCAATTTACAAATGGTACAAGATAACCCTGTCTGTAGAATGGACTTTTGATTAAGTAAACAGCTTTGTGCAATTAACTATATCATGTTATAAGACTACATCACGAATATAGGAACCTTGTTTGATAAAGGTCGTTGGAGCCTGGGATTCAGATTGCTGCTTTGCCACCATTCTACAACTATGAATTCAACTTTATTAGGTGTTGCTTTTCAGGGATAGCACCTGACCTTTTTAATTTTCTTCTACAATGTTGTATTTCTGTTCCCATATGTAATTGTCTCTATGTTTGAAAATTATATGCCAATGTTAAAGTTTTTAAATGCTATTTAAATAGTCAACGGCTTTCATATGCATATTATTCGACTAGGTATTACGTCAGACCAAGTAAATATAGAAGCTTAATTTTGGCTTACCAATTTGTCTGATGTAAATAATTATTTGAAATGCAACAAAATTCACCACTCAATAAGCAAATAGCAGACGTACGGATTTTGTGTAGATCTGATTTTGTGTATTCTATATATAAACATCTTTCAACCAAGCAAAATAAAAACAATTCCCAATTTTTCAAATAGTAATATTTCAAATCTTGAACCTCTTTGCAGCAGACAATAAAGTTATACAAATGATCATATTATGTGTATTTAAACCTGCTGCAATCATTTATTTATGAAAAAGTTTGAAACTATGTAGAAGTCTTACTCATTGTTGTGGTGAACTAAAATAAATGTTATCAAATCTAGAACTTTGTTTTATCTTGAAGCTACATACAGTTATTTGGTCAGGATGAACCAATGCTCAGCGTTATTGAATAGAAGTATTCAACAGCTGTTAACTGTACCACTGATTTCCCTATTGCCCCCCTAATTTTGAAATGGTCTTCTTAAAACTTACATATTCAAAGTGGCGTATATATGCCGGTGCAAATGCTCCAGTCAAATACATAACTTATAAATTACAAATAGTTTTATCACCAACAAAATATACAACACCCCCTCAATGTGGAAATATCCCCTAAAACTTAAAAGCATGCTGATTGTTGACCTTAACTAACCATTGGGTTCTATGCATTGTTTATAAGGGGTCATGATATTACCCCAGCTATGTACAGAAACAGAAAAATGGTTGCTCAATGTCCAACTAGTGAGAATATTATTTTTATGGTAGCAAAGTGTCACACATTGTCACCGCAGCTTGAAACATAGCTCTATCAGTAATGAGAATGTCATTTGCACAAGCCAAACGCCATCGTACCCTATGTTTTAAAATTTTAAATCATTGAAACAGTAAATCTCTACTTTCAGATCTCTGTATCAGTATCAACAATTGAGGTTTTGTCCAATTATGAAACCCCGGTCAATTCAATATTGAGCACCCTGCTGTGAATCAAATAATGTACACATTGTCACTCGGTAAAAACGCGGCGTAAACTTCCCATTTTCTGGCCCTACTGTATTATAGGTTGCATACCCCTGGCTTAGATGACTATGGAAAGAAATTAACGACCATGCATGATTGATCATTTATTAAAACAACATAGGGAAACCAAATTCAAGTTTTACTTTCCCACGAAGTCAAGCAGGTAACCCTTGCTTTTGTGTCAATATCTAACACGCAAGGAGGGGATTTCAGGACACTCGTGCTTTCATCCGTTAACTTTTGTTCGTCCACAGACCAGATTTTGACATGGCCATCACTGGACGCTGATGCTAGCCATATTAGGGAATTATCAGTGTCGCTGTCAATCAAAAATTTTGGCGGAGTGATTCTGTGAAGATCTTTCACTCTTGATGTGTGTGCTTCTATTTTTGTGACACTCTCTCCATTTTTTGTTTGATAAATGTGAATTTCGTTTCCTTCCCCTGTTACAGCTAGGAGTTTATTTGAAATGAATTCGGCAGCTAAAATGGCTTTTTTCCATTCAATTTCGGCAATACAATTCGCGGATTCTAATTCATAAATTTGGAGACAATTTTTAGACGTGATCAGATAATGTTCACCCCCTGGGCTGAATTTTACGATTTCTGGTGAAAATTTTTTCATATTCTTAACATAAACTGGCCTCCCTGATATCATGTTCCAAGTGCGTAGTGTGCCATCTTTAGGGGACGCAGAAAGGGCCAATTTACCAGATGGGTGTACTGCAAATGATGTGACTGGCCCTTTGTGTCCTCGAAGACATTTCGCTTTGTCCCATTTCGCCGATACTCTCCACACATTTATTGTTCCATCATCACTCGTACTCATTAGAAATTTCTTATCTGGGAATGTAAGATAGTTGACGGTTCCTTCGTGGCCCTGAAATTTAGAAAAAGAGGTGTTTAACATTTATTCAAATTCAGTTTAACATTTCGAGATATAATTTATCATACATTAAATAAATTATATCTGTCCATACAATGCACTTCAAACAAGAAGAAGAAGACATGTTAACAGATTAAATCAGCACTGGTATACAAAAGAATTCTTTCACTTCTCGCTCATAGTTCACTTCATATGCAAACTTTTTTTTTATTTAAATATAGGTTTTCACGGAGGAATTTTGAAGAGAAAACAAGTTGCTTAATGATACATCTGACGATTGCCTTCGCCTTTAATTCGATATGGGATAAGCTGACAGATTCGGATATTTATTTTCATCGTGCAACAAACATCATATATATGAACAAATATTAAATAAATTCATCAAAAAAAATGTACAATGGGCTGCGAAAAGACTATCAAAGTCAGTGGTACAAAGTGAAACATTTTGGTATATCGACGTACGGTTTTATTATGGTAAGAGTAGTAATGTACATAACTCCTACCCAAATCATCATCAAATACTCGACCCTTACACACACTAAGCCGCTGCATATGAGATAAATATCAAACTCATAGATCCAGCTCAAACTAATCACCTGTATGGATCCAACTTCTTTATCATCCGTCATATCAAACAAAAATATTGCTTCGTCCGAAGATCCAGAAGCCAAATATGAAGACCCACATGCCACAGTCTTGATACAACCACTATGAGAATGATCAGTGAAAAGCAATTCTGATTTCAAAACATCTTTTTCCTTATCTTTGGTAACAGAGTAACCCAAGAGCATTTGCTCATAACATCCTACAATTATTTTAAGCATTTTTAATTTACCTGGTCATGGAGCCAGTTTTATACCAAATCTGCAATAACAGGCACAGAGAGAAAAGAAGTTTAAATTACAGTATAAGTGGTAAGCTGCAAATTTGAAAAAAAAAAGATAGCACAAAAAAAAGCAGTGGAACATTGAAAAAGAAAGTGATTATCATTAAATAGAACAGCACTCGTAAATTAGCATTCGAAATTCTGTCTGCATTAATAAATATGATTACAAAAACATGAAAAATAAAAGTTGGAGGAGCTAGTCTTTTGCTTACAGTTTCATATAGATGAACTTTGTGTGAAATAAAAAATATAATGAAACATTGAAAGAAATTTGAAGACAATGCATTACTCAAAGCTGAACATAATAAGAGCAATTTGGAAAACGGCAAATCTGGGGAAATTTCAGAATAATTTAGTACCATTCAGTACATTTAAGTGAGATGCTCCCAAATTTGAATCAACTTTGAAAAGGGAACCTAATTGGTAGTGATTTTCATATATAGAATAGCACTCATAAATTAACATTTGAACTTCTATCTGCATTAATAAATAGGAATACAAAAACATGAATGAAAAAGGTAGCAAGATGAATCCAGGATGATTTGAAATTGAGCTAGTTATTTGTTTACAGTTTCCCTTAGATGAACTTTGTGTAAAATGAAGAATAAAATGAAACATTGAAAGAAATTTAATGATTATTTTCATTACTTGAGCCTTGCATTACAGCAATACTGGAAAAACAGCAAATCTGTGGAAATTTAAAAAAAAAACTTGAGTTGAAAAAATTAATACCATTCAATACATTTAAGTAAGATTATCCCAAATTTAATTCAACTTTGATAAAGACAATTTTTAGACAATTTTTTGATGGGTGTCGAGCTAATTAAAAATGAAAATATTTGTTAGATTTTACCCGCCTTATTCAGGATATTCACATTCCTTTATTTTGGATATTTCTATCCATTCACATATTTTCAATGTGTTTTTTGTATAAAACATACTTTCGCTTTACTATCTGTTATTTGTAGCATATTGTTAGCTAGTTATTTTTGAGGTAGGGCGCAAGACTTGACTAATTTTAAAAAGGGGCCGCCGTGTGAAAACCATTGCCTACAGTTTCACATGGATGAACTTTGTGTGAAATAAAATATTATTGAAAGAAAACTAACATGATTAATTATCTATTACATAGAAAGCAAAACTCGAAGCTGTATAGAATAGCAACACAGAAAAATAATTAGTCTGTGGAAATTCTTATGCTAAACTTGTCTTTAAGAGTGTTATTGATTATCTTAGCAAAACCACATCGTCACGAAACATGGAAAACAATTTTGAATGTCAGCTTAAATGGCAGTATTTTTTTGCAAAATTTTCAAATGCCTCTTTTTTAAAATTTCATCATTTGAACTTTCTTACCTGGAACCCTTGGTACTAAATTGCTTATAATCCTGCCACAAAAGATCTAAGTTGGTCTATACTTAATGTAAAAAAAGCGTAAGCTGGGCATTATTAACAATATAATAACAAAATAATATGCTGCTAGAGTAAAGAAGCTCCAGGTACGAAAAGAAAACTAACATGATTAATTATCTATTACATAGAAAGCAAAACTCGAAGCTGTGTAGAATAGCAACACAGAAAAATAATTAGTCTGTGGAAATTTTTATGCTAAACTTGGCTTTAAAAGTGTTATTGATTATCTTAGCAAAACCACTTCGTCACAATGTGGCCAATTCTCATGCAAATTGCAACTTGGGAAAGAATTCGTATCTATCAATACTATTTGGCCAAAATTCAAAACATGGAAAACAATTTTGAATGTCAGCTTAAATAGCAGTATTTTTTGCGAAATTGCCGAATGCCGTTATTTTTTTTTTTTAATTTCATCATTTGAACTTTCTTACCTGGAACCCTTGGTACTTAAAATGCTTATAATTCTATAGCCTGGTGCAAAAGATCAATGTTGGTCTATTCTTACAAGCGTAAGCTGGGCATTATTAACAATATAATAACAAAATAATATGCTGCCAGAGTAAAGAAGCTCCAGGTACGAAAATGAAAAAATAATGGTACCGAAATAAAGCAGTAAACAGAAAAAGCTGGCACAAACTTTTCAAAAAAACATAAATTGAAATAGTGAATACTCTTGGATAACAAAACATTTAAGCAATAGAACAGGTATGTATGGGTAAACTATCATGAGCTGTTTTTCAATTATCCATACAATATAAATCAGTAATTCAGGGTTGGCTAACAGAGGGTAACAGTCTAACAGGAATTACGGTATTTAATTATCAACTTAATTATTAACTTAATTACTAACTGTCCCCTATTGGCCAACACTATGTTTGCAAAATCATGATAAACCACGGCGTGAAAAATTCCAGTATTCCATTTCCTTTCTTCATAATTTAACTACAGTGATTTTAAACCAAATTAACAGGGTAGAATAGAATAAAGGTTTTTCAGTCCTGAGCATTACGAAAGAAATCAGAAAAAAAGCACACAGAAAACAAAATAAGTGAAAGTGCTGTATGGTGTACGCTTGCGAATCTTCATCCTTTGTGTATTTGGTTTATCACAGCGTGAGTGAAATCTGTGGTTGTGGCATATCCACCAAGATCAGCGGTTCTCGCTTTCCCTTTGTTGACAACATCTGCGACAGCGTTAGAAACTTGTTTTGCGTAGTTTCCGAGATGTAAGTGCTCAAGTAGATTTGCAGATGACAAAAGCATTGCAGTTGGGTTAGCAATATTACGACCAACAGCTTGAGCAAAAGGATGTCTTGCACCTGTTTCAAAAACTGCACATTTTTGACTGTAACTTTCACCTGGGACAACCCCTGCCCCGCCCACCAAACCAGCAGCCAAATTATCAATAATATTACCATAAAGGTTAGGCATAACCATAACATCAAATTGGTTAGGATTTGACACAAGCTGCATACATGTATTATCAACAATCATCGCTTCAAAAGTAATTTTGGGATATAATTTCGAGACTTCACGACAGGATTCCAGAAACATTCCATCGCCTAATTTCATAATATTTGCTTTATGTACTGCGGTTACCTTTTTCCGGTCATGTTTTGTTGCGTAATCGAAAGCAAATCTTGCAATACGTTTTGATTTTTCTCGTGTAATTATTTTCATCGATTCAATGACTCCTGGGACACTTTCATGTTCAAGAGCGCTGTACTCTCCCTCCGTTTGCTCACGAATAATCACTAGATCCATATTGTTATGCCGGGTCTTGTAACCTTCGAAACTCTTCGCTCGAACCACATTTGCATACAAGTCAAGACGCTGGCGAAGAATGAATTTCGTTGACGCCAGTTCTCCACCCATGGCACTCAATCTAGAAGAAATATCGCCTAATAAAGCGACTCCATTTCTCAAAACAGATTTTGTAACCTGCTGTATTGTATCTTCAGAAGCTCGGTCCATAATTTCACTGACCCAAAACTCCTCAAATTCTACCGGAATTGCAGCTGCTTTAAAAACTTCCTTTACTGCGATCATTAATTCTGGTCCAATACCGTCCCCAGGTACCATAGTAACTTTAACTTTTCCCTCATGATGGCGCTGAAGATTATTGCTTCCATGTATACAACGAGCTATGCTCGGAGTTGCACAAAATCGCTGGGTATGTCTTGCAAGATTTCCAAGTGATGCTGCCATTATTTCCAAATTAAATAAGATATAAATCAAAATATGATACTGTAAATATAAATTTCATAATTGTTAAAATGGTTTTAAATTCTAAAATATTCAGGGGTTCTTCTGAACTCTGGAATGTTTCATTGGGATTTGGCTCCTCCAATCACATGTACAGTAGATATCATATATGAGTCATGTTCTATAGAACTCAATGTAAAATAACAATAATAGATAATAATAGTGATTTGACTATCCTCGAAGCAAAAATGGACTTGATGGTGATAACTTCGATTATCGCTTTGGGCAGCCCTAGCGATAATTTAAGTCACAATTGCTAATAGCAAGTCCAGGAACATTAAGTTGAGTATTTTAACAGATAGCCAAAGAAGTTTTGCATTATCAATATTTTTGTCATTCATGATTGGTTTTATTCCAAGTTTGGTGCCGGAGAGTCGGAGACGAAGGTTAGCTCAGGGTCGGGTATCCGAGTTGATTTTGAAATGACGAGAAGTTTAACTATTAGTAGAGTGTACACGCTAGCGAATTCGTATGCGTATAATGCAAGGATGCTGTAGCAGGAATATAAATACCATTCTATGCAATTCAAGAGTCCAGCTGCACACTAAAACAAATGTATTTCTGTAACGTTTCGTCTGAACAAAATCAGACTTCCTCAGACAAGCAGTTTACAACAACCTTGTTAAATACATTTGTGGTAGTGTGCAGCAGCCAGCAGGACTTTTGAATTGCATAGTCTAGAAGTTTGTTTAAAATTTTTTCGACACCCAGCCCTGATTCCAGGTAGGGTAAGGATATAAATCATCACACACACAATTGTTCCTAATGCATGGACTTACATAATTCTTGTTCATCAAAATTGCATTGCAGAAGCTAACAAGAGTAGAAAAAAAATACAAAATTGCAACATTACTCGTATTGAAGCAGTAAAAAATCAACCATTTTGGTTATGAGAAGCTAATGCACCACTACGATTATTTTATGCTACTTTTAGGTACGGTAAGTACAAAAACTTAATCATACACTACAAAAAATAGTCAATCTTAACATAATGAAGTTCAAATCATGGAAAAATCACACTCAAGTAACAACGTCACACAAAGTAAAACACGATTATATATTTATCCAGGGGGAGAGGAAAGCCGATAAGATGGCTTAATCATATGGCGAACCACTGCTTTTCATTCAGCTACCAGTCCAAGTCGGGTATCAGGACCTGGAAGACGGGCATAACTTAATGAAAAAGTTGAAAACGTACAAGTACGTGCCCGTCTACCAAAAACAGTCAAAAGAACACAATAAAATAAAGACACGATGTAAAATCAGGCAATACGTTTTGAATCAATTTTAAGATATAGGTATTAGCCAGTTTTTTCCAGATGCAAGGACTTGATTGGTGCACTTATTTTACATTGAGTGATCTTGCTCCGTCGAGCATTAAACATTGCCCAGTGGTCCAAGCTGACGAATCAGATGCCAAAAACAACACAGCACTGGCTACTTCATCCACTGTTCCATTTCTACCAATAGGATGAAGTGAGGAAATCTTTTCAAAAGTTGCGTCATCGGGAATCCCACCAGGTACAGTTCGAAGGAGAGCTGTTGGTACTATAGACGGATTCACAGAATTGACTTGAACACCTTTAGGAGCGTACTCAAGAGCAATCGTTTTCGTGAATTGGTCCAAAGCAGATTTTGTCAACCCATAAAACAAGGCTTGAGGAAACTGCATTGTACTGCTAACGCTAGAGATATTTACGATGTTTCCTTTAGATATTACTAAATGAGGAATTAATAATTGTGTCAAATAGACGACGGCTTTAACATTGATGTTTAATTGCCAATCCAGATCTTCTAACTTGGAATTTTCCAGATTTCCAAATTGTATAACACCGGCATTGTTGACTAAAACGTCAAGTTTCCCATATTTTTCGATAGTTTTTTCCGCAACGTTTTTAATTTCTTCTAATTTTCCTAAATCTGCCAATGTCATCAAAACATCTTTTGCTCCTTTATTTTTACATTCCGTCGCAACTTTTTCCAAATTCACCTTATTTCTTCCTGTCAATGCCAACAATGCACCACGCTCTGCAAATTGAAGAGCGATAGCTTTTCCAAATCCACTAGAAGCACCAGTTACCAAAACTACTTTATTTTGAAAACTATCAGACATTATTCCTTAATGCTAAAATTTACAATTTTACACTAAACTCTAGAAGTAAGATATAATCATAAAATATTACACAATTATTGAATATAATACTGACGCTTCATACTAGTATTACAACTAAAATACAGAACCAATAGATTTTTGAACCCCAAAGTTTTAGTAATCTAGAATGCTTTGCAAAAAAGTTATGGTTTCCCTGTAAAATGATTCAAATGATTTATGTTCAGTTTTTGTTGAGTCAAGTTTGTAACCATGAAAATACCAAACAGAAAAAGTCAAAAGACATTGACAAAATATAAAAAAAGTTGAACGAAAAAAATTTATGATTTCAAGTACTGGTAGGTTTTCTTGCAAAACAATTGATAAATTTACTCGAAAACTCAAGACTATCGTTGGAGGGTGGTTAAATTCAAGCAAGGTGCAAGACAATCCATGAATGGTTCAGGAAAACAGTGCCGATAAAACAAAGACTTAACCTTATTCAAAAAGACAATCTGTTGTTCAGTTACATTCTAACCGGAGTCTGGTATGTTTGTATTGATACTGAGGTCAGAATCGGATTTGTATTTTCCAACTTTCCAGAGTCATGAGTCGAAATTTTGAATTATCCCGAGTCAAAAGTAGGAGTTATAATTTCAGATTTTTTATTACCAGAATCCCAAAAATCAAAGTCACAATTGCCAATCGCAAGTGCAGGATTATTAAGTTAACAGAGTATTTTTAACAAATAGTCAAAGAAGCTTCGCATCCGAGTCGACTTTTAAATGACCAGAAATATGTTTAAAAATTTTTCGACACCCTGCCATGATTCCAAGTAGGGTAGGAGAATAGTTTATCATTCATTGTCCCCAATGCATGGACTTAAACATTTCTTGTTGAATAATATTGCATGGCAAAAGTGAAAAAAGTAGAAGAAAATACAAAATTGCTCGTATAAAAGCAGTAAAAAAACGTAATCGTCTTGGCTGTGGAATGCTGGTAAGTGCATTTACTACTATGAATATTTATTGCTAGTTGAGATAGGTATAAAAACTTGATCATACATTACAAAAAAAAATCAAAATTAATATAATGCGGTTAAAATCATGAGAAAGTCACATTTAAAAGTAACGGTTACACAAAATGAAACTTAGGATGGGAATTATATATTATTCCAGGGGGAAAAGAAAGTCGATAAGACGGCTCAATCATATGGTGAACCACGGCCTCTCATCCAGTCACCAGTCAATGTCTGGCGTGGGATTAGTTGGCAAGGTATTTGTTTCAAATGCATGGACTTGATTGGTGCACTTATTTTACATTGAGTGATCTTGCTCCGTCGGGCATTAAGCATTGCCCAGTGGTCCAAGCTGACGAATCAGATGCCAAAAACAACACAGCACTGGCTACTTCATCCACTGTTCCATTTCTACCAATAGGATGGACCGAGGAAACCTTTTCATAAGCTGCGTCATCGGGAATCCCACCAGGTACAATTCGAAGGAGAGCTGTTGGGACTATAGACGGATTCACAGAATTGACCCGAACACCTTTAGGAGCGTACTCAAGAGCAATCGTTTTCGTGAATTGGTCCAAAGCAGATTTTGTCAACCCATAAAACAAGGCTTGAGTACACTGCATTCTACTGTAAACGCTAGAGATATTTACGATGTTTCCTTTAGATATTACTAAATGAGGAATTAATAATTGTGTCAAACAGACGACGGCTTTAACATTGATGTTTAATTGCCAATCCAGATCTTCTAACTTGGAATTTTCCAGATTTCCAAACTGTATAACACCGACATTGTTGACTAAAACGTCAAGTTTTCCATATTTTTCGATAGTTTTTTCCGCAACATTTTTAATTTCTTCTAATTTTCCAAAATCTGCCAATGTCATCAAAACATCTTTTGCTCCTTTATTTTTACATTCCGTCGCAACTTTTTCCAAATTCACCTTATTTCTTCCTGTCAATGCCAACAATGCACCACGCTCTGCAAATTGAAGAGCGATAGCTTTTCCAAATCCACTAGAAGCACCAGTTACCAAAACTACTTTATTTTGAAAACTACCAGACATTATTCCTTAATGCTAAAATTTACAATTTTACACTAAATTCTAGAAGTAGGATATCATATAATCATAAAATAATACACAATTATTGAATATAATACCGACGCTTCATACTAGTATTACAACTATAATACAGGACAACTAAAACACAGAACCAAGAGATTTTTGAACCCCAAAGTTTTAGTAATCTGGAATGCTTTGCAAAAAAGTTATGTTTTCCCTGTAAAATGATTCAAATGATTTATGTTCAGTTTTTGTTGAGTCAAGTTCGTAACCTAAAAAATACCGAACAGAAAAAGTCAAAAGACATTGACAAAATATAAAAAAGTAAAACGAAAAAAAATTTATGATTTCAAGTACTGGTAGGTTTTCTTGCAAAACAATTGATAAATTTACTCGAAAACTCAAGACTATCGTTGTAGGGTGGTTAAATTCGAGCAACGTGTAATTAAAATTTGTCAAGACAATCCACGAATGGTTTAGGAAAACAGTGCTGATAAGACTTAACCTTATTCAAAAAGACAATCTGTTTTCCGGTTACATTCTAACCGGAGTCTGGTATGTTTGTATTGATACTGAGGTCAGAATCGGATTTGTATTTTCCAACTTTCCAGAGTCATGAGTCGAAATTTTGAATTATCCCGAGTCAAAAGTAGGAGTTATAATTTCAGATTTTTTATTACCAGAATCCCAAAAATCAAAGTCACAATTGCCAATCGCAAGTGCAGGATTATTAAGTTAACAGAGTATTTTTAACAAATAGTCAAAGAAGCTTCGCATCCGAGTCAACTTTTAAATGACCAGAAATATGTTTAAAATTTTTTCGACACCCTGCCATGATTCCAAGTAGGGTAGGAGAATAGTTTATCATTCATTGTCCCCAATGCATGGACTTAAACATTTCTTGTTGAACACTATTGCATGGCAAAAGTGAAAAAAGTAGAAGAAAATACAAAATTGCTCGTATAAAAGCAGTAAAAAAACGTAATCGTCTTGGCTGTGGAATTCTGGTAAGTGCATTTACTACTATGAATATTTATTGCTAATTGAGATAGGTATAAAAACTTGATCATACATTACAAAAAAAAAATCAAAATTAATATAATGCGGTTAAAATCATGAGAAAGTCACATTTAAAAGTAACGGTTACACAAAATGAAACTTAGGATGGGAATTATATATTATTCCAGGGGGAAAAGAATGTCGATAAGACGGCTCAATCATATGGTGAACCACGGCCTCTCATCCGGTCACCAGTCAATGTCGGGCGTGGGATTAGTTGGCAAGGTATTTGTTTCAAATGCATGGACTTGATTGGTGCACTTATTTTACATTGAGTGATCTTGCTCCGTCGGGCATTAAGCATTGCCCAGTGGTCCAAGCTGACGAATCAGATGCCAAAAACAACACAGCACTGGCTACTTCATCCACTGTTCCATTTCTACCAATAGGATGGACCGAGGAAACCTTTTCATAAGTTGCGTCATCGGGAATCCCACCAGGTACAGTTCGAAGGAGAGCTGTTGGTACTATAGACGGATTCACAGAATTGACCCGAACACCTTTAGGAGCGTACTCAAGAGCAATCGTTTTCGTGAATTGGTCCAAAGCAGATTTTGTCAACCCATAAAACAAGGCTTGAGTACACTGCATTCTACTGTAAACGCTAGAGATATTTACGATGTTTCCTTTAGATATTACTAAATGAGGAATTAATAATTGTGTCAAACAGACGACGGCTTTAACATTGATGTTTAATTGCCAATCCAGATCTTCTAACTTGGAATTTTCCAGATTTCCAAATTGTATAACACCGGCATTGCTGACTAAAACGTCAAGTTTTCCATATTTTTCGATAGTTTTTTCCGCAACGTTTTTAATTTCTTCTAATTTTCCAAAATCTGCCAATGTCATCAAAACATCTTTTGCTCCTTTATTTTTACATTCCGTCGCAACTTTTTCCAAATTCACCTTATTTCTTCCTGTCAATGCCAACAAAGCACCACGCTCTGCAAATTGAAGAGCGATAGCTTTTCCAAATCCACTAGAAGCACCAGTTACCAAAACTACTTTATTTTGAAAACTATCAGACATTATTCCTTAATGCTAAAATTTACAATTTTACACTAAACTCTAGAAGTAAGATATAATCATAAAATATTGCACAATTATTGAATATAATACTGACGCTTCATACTAGTATTACAACTAAAATACAGAACCAATAGATTTTTGAACCCCAAAGTTTTAGTAATCTAGAATGCTTTGCAAAAAAGTTATGGTTTCCCTGTAAAATGATTCAAATGATTTATGTTCAGTTTTTGTTGAGTCAAGTTTGTAACCATGAAAATACCAAACAGAAAAAGTCAAAAGACATTGACAAAATATAAAAAAAGTTGAACGAAAAAAATTTATGATTTCAAGTACTGGTAGCTTTTCTTGCAAAACAATTGATAAATTTACTCGAAAACTCAAGACTATCGTTGGAGGGTGGTTAAATTCAAGCAAGGTGTAATTTAAATTTGTCGAGACAATCCATGAATGGTTCAGGAAAACAGTGCCGATAAAACAAAGACTTAACCTTATTCAAAAAGACAATCTGTTGTTCAGTTACATTCTAACCGGAGTCTGGTATGTTTGTATTGATACTGAGGTCAGAATCGGATTTGTATTTTCCAACTTTCCAGAGTCATGAGTCGAAATTTTGAATTATCCTGAGTCAAAGTAGGAGTTATAATTTCAGATTTTTTATTGCCAAAATCCCAAAAATCAAAGTCACAATTGCCAATCGCAAGTGCAAGATTATTAAGTTAACAGAGTGTTTTTAACAAATAGTCAAAGAAGCTTCGCATCCGAGTCGACTTTTAAATGACCAGAAATTCGTTTAAAATTTTTTCGACACCCTGCCATGATTCCAAGTAGGGTAGGAGAATAGTTTATCATTCATTGTCCCCAATGCATGGACTTAAACATTTCTTGTTGAACACTATTGCATGCAAAAGTGAACAAAAGCAGAAGAAAATACAAAATTGCAAAATTACTCGTATAAAAGCAGTAAAAAAAAGGTAATCGTCTTGGCTGTGGAATTCTGGTAAGTGCATTTACTACTATGAATATTTATTGCTAGTTGAGATAGGTATAAAAACTTGATCATACATTACAAAAGAAAATCAAAATTAATATAATGCGGTTGAAATCGTGAAAAAGTCACATTTAAAAGTAACGGTTACACAAAATGAAACTTAGGATGGGAATTATATATTATTCCAGGGGGAAAAGAAAGTCGATAAGAAGACTCAATCATATGGCGAACCACGGCCTCTCATCCAGTCACCAGTCAATGTCGGGCGTGGGATTAGTTGGCAAGGTATTTGTTTCAAATGCATGGACTTGATTGGTGCACTTATTTTACATTGAGTGATCTTGCTCCGTCGAGCATTAAACATTGCCCAGTGGTCCAAGCTGACGAATCAGATGCCAAAAACAACACAGCACTTGCTACTTCATCCACTGTTCCATTTCTACCAATAGGATGGACCGAGGAAACCTTTTCATAAGTTGCGTCATCGGGAATTCCGCCAGGTACAGTTCGAAGGAGAGCTGTTGGGACTACAGAAGGATTCACAGAATTGACTCGAACACCTTTAGGAGCGTACTCAAGAGCAATCGTTTTCGTGAATTGGTCCAAAGCAGATTTTGTCAACCCATAAAACAAGGCTTGAGGAAACTGCATTGTACTGCTAACGCTAGAGATATTTACGATGTTTCCTTTAGATATTACTAAATGAGGAATTAATAATTGTGTCAAATAAACGACGGCTTTAACATTGATGTTTAATTGCCAATCCAGATCTTCTAATTTGGAATTTTCCAGATTTCCAAATTGTACAACACCGGCATTGTTGACTAAAACGTCAAGTTTTCCATATTTTTCGATAGTTTTTTCCGCAACATTTTTAATTTCTTCTAATTTTCCAAAATCTGCCAATATCATCAAAACATCTTTCGCTCCTTTATTTTTACATTCTATCGCAACTTTTTCCAAATTCACCTTATTCCTCCCTGTCAATGCCAACAATGCACCATGCTCTGCAAATTGAAGAGCGATAGCTTTTCCGAATCCACTCGAAGCACCAGTTACCAAAACTACTTTATTTTGAAAACAATTTGACATCTTGTGAGGTCTGTTTAATCCAGTTTATACCTGAATCTGCAAAATGGATAGGATAGGATTTACATATGTATTCAGGGGAAGTGAAAAGCAGACAAGACGGCTTTATCATATGGAGACCACGAACTCTCGTCCAGTTACCAGTTCATTACCAGGGTTACTTGTTTTAGATGCATGGACTTGACGGTGGAGGAAACCGTAACCGATCAGAGGTTACACGAACTATCCTGCGTCGGCGAGGAGGTCAGCAATCCTCTCGCACACACCTATCAGGCTATCCCTGCATGGGATTCGAACCTGCGAAACCGCGTAGGGTAATTAGACAAGCGGTGGCGAGCATATTTCTAACTCTTAGCACGATGCGCCACACCATAAAGATGTAAAAGGGCAAATTTTTTTAACGTCTGGTTTGATCAATTTCTGTGGGGACCATCAATTATTAACTTTCATGGTACATAGTATATATTGATATGATGCGCAGCTAGGTAACATATTACACTAGGTACTAATGTACTATGTCTAGCTAGTACCGGTAAATACGCAAAGTACGGTTTACAAAAAGTTATGGTGCTGCGTTTATTTCACATCACATTTTTGTTTGGGTTATTTGAGTAGTTACAATAAGGCTAATATAAATGCTGCAATATGTCCATTGGTATGCAGGCATGAATGAATTTTAGGAAACGCATTTGAGTGGCTTCAAAATTGCCTTTGAACTCATCTGTAAAATAGGGCAGGATTTACATATTCATCCCAGGGGACAGGAAAGCCGATAAGACGCCTTTTCCATATGGCAAACCACGGCCCCTCGTCCGGTTATCATTCTATGTCGGGTACCGGTACCCTAGTGCCCTATGGTATTAGTTAGTTACCGGTATTTTTTTTTTAGAAGCCTGGACTTGATGATGGAGGAAGCCGTAACCGACCACAGGTAATCAGAGGTACGGCGTATTACCAAAGTTACCCCAGGCCACACTCGCTCAGCCCACACTCAGCCTGACATCAAGGGGTTAACCAACTATTTTACCACTTTATAAACGTTAATTCATAAAATCTTGGTGGCTATGACAATATAGAGACCATATGTGATATACACACCGCAAATGCAATACCAAGCAAGGCCCAGTTAACCCTAGTATGGCCCGTCAAAAACGAGTGTGGGCTAGCGTCACACGAGTGTGGGCTGGCATCCTACGAATGTGGGCTAGCGTCACACGAGTGTGGGCTGGCGTTCTGACAGTGTTATACGGTAAGTTAAGGCATCCTAAGCGCTCACAGATTACTAAATTACATCTATCCACGTTTACCTCAGCACCAGATCCTTTCAGAGTCCGGAAATTGTTAGCACAAAATGGCCACAAATGCCGGGAAAATGAATCAAAATCAACTGAACAATAATATCTCTAACCAGTGTTACCAGATATGACGGTAAACAAGCCTGAAATTGACCATCGAATCTCAAAAATAAGAAAATTGAAATCCAAGCTAAGTGACTGTTCTTTTTATGAATAAAAATGTAGTTACTGAGTTATGAATAAACCATAATTGATTTGCCGTGCTTGGTATTGCATTTGCGCTGTGTGGGCTGGGGTAACTTTGGTGGCGTATTCCTAACGCTTACTGGCTTAGCATGATGACCCACACCACCAGAAGAAGTAATGAACTCAATCAATCAATTTTATTTGGTCACTCTAATACTGTAATAGCTGGATAGAAACATAACACAAAACAACAACAAACGGACAAACAAAATACAGAGGACGGACATAACTTAATAAAAAAGTTATAAACGTACCGTACCGGTACAAGTACATGCCCATCCACCGAAAACAGGCAAAACACGATATAAAATCAGGCAATACTTTTAAATTTAATTCAAAATGTGAGACGCGTACCGGTATGTGTAACACAACAGTGCTTTTCCTACAAAACTAACCTAGTCACTTTTCAGCGTCCTGAAATTAGCTCATAGATCACTTTTTTTCCAAATTTAAATTCATTACGGTATTCTACTCCTCACTACATATAGATTATAGACTGTGTGTACTCCTTGACGAGTTGCAGGCGTGAGTCGTGTGAGCAGGCGTGAGCGATGTGACACACCAGCTCACACTGTTCGATCACATGTGTGGGATTACAGTAGGCTACGGCAACTTTACGACCGGTACGAATTTTAGCGTGAATGTGTTTTTCTATTATCATTGAGTAAAGAAAAACCTGAATTAATCAAGGCGAACATGTATTATCACAAGCTTCGAGGGCATCTTATCATTGTTTTTGTCGTACTTGCCTGTGTGCATCATTTAGCCTTTAGCGGTTCGGTGACAAGCGTGCTTTGCACGTCACATTTTCTGATTTTGTTTATTTGTGATGTATTTTGGGGAAATGAACGTATTAGTATTTATTTACGACTGTACCGGTAAATGGCGAACCACGTCCTTTTAATGGTAGAAAGTGGAAATATCTGACTAATCAGTTTATTGCTGGGAAGCGTACACGGCAATATACCACTTTGTGATAAAGATGAGTCCTGACCAATACCGTTACATTGTCGGCATGAGGATTCGCACAAGTGTGGTGTATTGGCAAGCATATTTCCACCCTACTTAGAAATATATGAATTACTTACTTTTCAGATAAGTCATACTACACTACAGCTTTGTGCTCAGTACCATAAATGCAACAGGGGTGATAACTTTTTTGTGGCTTTGGAGCCAGGCCACACAAAAGGGGCCAGGCCACGGAGAAAATGGGGCCAGGCCACAGAGAAAATGGGGCCAGGCCACGGACAAATTGGGGCCAGGCCACGGAGAAAATGGGGCCAGGCCAGCGCAATGGTAATGTTAAGACATCCGTATTTGTTTAGTTATATTTTTGTTTATAAGTAATGTGGAAACTGGTAATGTTAAGACATGTACGGTACTTGTACAATTGAACCGTATCGTATGGGAAAATGCTGTATTCGAACACTTACTCATTACAAATGTAGAGGTAGAAGTTTATTTCGACTCCATAATCAGCAATAGACGATAAAATAATAGATAAAAACAAATGATAAAGTAACTGATTATAGAATCGGGAAATCAAACAAAACCTCAAGTAAAGTTTGAAGCCTACATATTTTAGATGGAAAGGTATTGATAAAAGAAGTAGTACGTGTTCGCTCACCCAATGTATTACTTATGTGAGGGGGTTATATTGCGAGCGATACATTATTGTAGTGTTTCTACTGGTCACCGTATCTATACATTTATATTCCTCACCGCATTCATTGTCTTTTTACTGTAGCGTGAACTGGTGCCTATATGTTAAAAAAAACTCAGTGAAATAAGTTATATTTATTGCTTGTTGCATACCTTTTTGTGATTGTTAATTTTTTTAGCAAATATGTGTTGTTATTTAATTATTTTCATACAATACATGGTTAATAGATCAGTGAATAATTCCACCAGTGACTCAAATGCTATTATTAAATGAAGTCCGTACTGACAAATTGTGTAGTTCTACCTGTATTGCATAGGCAATTGACAGGGGTTTACACGCTAAGATGTTTTAGATTTGTAATACAAATTGCAGGCACAACATATCGGTAGCTATCACAACCACTAGTATCCCAACACTCAACATACAAAAAAGACTACTCTTCTCCGTTATACATTATCCCTAACAGAAAACAAGATCCATGCATACCAGTTGATTAACTGTTTCATTTATTGAAAAATATGCAAAAAAAAATTGCAAACACCAGATTGGCAGGATTCCAACATAATCTTTTTTAAAATAAGATTCATCTCCGAGGGAGTCCTTTTTGTTAGCATCTTAAGACTTTCCTATTACTGATAATTACTTCAATTATATTTAGCGTAATGAATATCAGGGATAAATGTTCAATCATAAGACTGTTTTTTCAATATAAGTCATCATAGATATATCGGAAAAGTAACAGTAGTACAAACGCATATTAGATAATCATAAGCAAGGAAATTGTAAGACTCTTTTGACTGGAACTGGTTTAGAGATTCAAGGGAAAATTCGCAAAATTCAATTTGGTATTTTTTCAGATCTGTTTTTAGCAACTACACTGGTAAGGTTGAGTATCTCCTACACAATATAAAACCAAAATTATATAGAGTCCGTATTGTTGTCATCATGATTTAATTTCTTCTTCTCTCCAAGCTATAAAACAAAAAAAATTATGTTAAAATTCTTGATGACTTGAGTGGTTTATTATTTTTACAGTACTGGGAATCAAAATACCTATTTCACCAATAAATACTTTTTAATCCTGCACACCATTTTGAGAATACAGGTAAAACGTAAAATTAAATGGTAGTGATATTAGGCAGTGGGGTTTTATGGCACGGTTGTTAGCAACAATATGGGATGAAATTTATCTAACAGAAGGAAGTATGTAGGTTTCATATAGAATTATTACATCATTTTTATCATTGTCAACTAGTCAATTCAAATCTAACGAAGATTCAATAAAACATGGTGTTTATTCGACTAGACCAGGGGTTCTCAACCTTTTTTCTGCAAAATACCCCCCCCGAGGCACGAAACAATCAACGCGAACCCCCAGTAATGTGACACCAAACAAAGTTGTGATATATCGATTAACAATTTGTTGAAACAACAATTTATTGACCAGATAAATTTAATTCACATTGTTTACGTCACAATCACAACAACGCAAGATCAGGGAAAATCTATGTTTCAATTGGCATCCAGTTTCAATCGGCACGCATTTTCCTCTGGTAGTAATAAAGGATATTAAAAACAGCAACACGCAAAAACTCGACTGCCATCCAAGTACCGGTACCCCCTGAAATCTTTTCGCGAACCCCAGGTTGAGAACCCCTGGACTAAAGACTGCTTGGTCCATCCCTGATTTGTATACATCGCAGATCACTTCATTATCAAAAACTCATTAGGTTAGGAAACAAATGGAATGGGCCAATTTTTATATTCTATTCTGTTTTTACTTATTGTTGCCTATGTCCTGCTATAAAGCTCAGTACAAACAATACGTCAAACTCACATTGAGGTACGTAGAATCTGAATAAATCTTCGAGCAATCATAATACCACACTTGCCAATTCCACGTCATTCTATTGTTTTATGTACGCGATGTTTTGGAGAAGCAAAATCAATAACATGGAAACTACGACAACTGTTTGCATGTCGTTACGACGTGAGCACCTGAGATGTCACAAAAATTATGTTATTTGTTAAAGCCATACTGAACAATTTTTTATCATGTGATACAATTAATACATATTAGGCATTACATGTATTTCTTTACAATGCTTAGTGATTGAGGCAATATTTAAAAATGAAACCGATAGTGGCAAAAAATTCACATCTTACACTTTTATAAAAAAAAGAGTGCTTAATAGGGAACACCATTTGCAAAAAACATCTTGCGAGAACATCTCTTGAAAATGAAATTTTTCCAAATACAGTATAAAAATAGCAAATAGTCAAGAAAAATTGTGAAAGAACTTGCAAATGTTGTTTTAGGAAAACAAATGTACAAAATTCAGACTTGACTATTAGACACAATCTTGACTGGAACAAAAAAATTTAACCATGGAGATTGTATTCAGGTCTCATCTGTACAGGTATTGTTACAATGATGTGATCAAGGCAAATAATACCAAATCTTACCATTATACTATTCCATCTATTTTAGTATTTAATCTTTGTAGTGGAATCTCGTTCGGAATATATTTTTATGTCTTCTCGGAAAAACTTTTTCGCTTGATTCCTGGTTTCATTATCAATTTAAACAATCCCTGAAATCAGATCCAATTATGTATGTAGTAGTAATCATCACAAGAATATAATACAAATATGTTATGCATGCTTCAGGTGGATATAAAAATATAAGGAATATTAATAAGTATTTCTAGCTTTGTCACAACCGTAAAACATTGCAGAACAATCTCAAAAACAAATATATACTTAAATCTCTACTCAAACCATTTGAATGACGAACGAATATAAAAGTGTGAATCAAAGCTTCCCCCAAAACCAGTCTTAAATGAAAAATCCAGTGCACCAGCTAATGTTATCTAATAAATAATATACATTGTAATATTAGGCTAAAATGTATAGTCTGATATGAGTATTACTTATAAATAGTTTGAGTAAGATAAGCTTGAAATATTTTTCCCAACCTGGTAAATGTAAATCATAATCTATGATCAAATTGATATGATACCAGCTTCTTACAGCCTAATTCTTGTATACATTCCTCAGTTATCGTGTAGTATCTGTTTCACTGCGATCATTACTCATATCAGCATATATACTGAACAAAAAACATTAATTCCCCAAAAAGTGAAACAAATCTTATGGTACTATTGTTGTAAAGTAACTTAACCATCATTACAAACCTGTTATATGAAATAAAAACTATGACTATTCCACTTCCGACAACATTCAGACATTGCGTCCCCGAATCACCTCGCTGTATGAATCCACTTTTTAAACTGCACTTCCCGGCAACAAATTCCAAAGTATTTACTTTTCAGACAGTCAAACATGATTTCATACTATTATGGTTACCTGTAACTTGAAGATCTTTACTAACCTGTTGAAAACCATGAAAAAAAAAAATACAAAATCATCTCCATAACAGAAATCAAGTATGGCTCCATATACAGATATACCATATTTCCCCAAAAATAAGACTGGGTCTCATTTCAATTTTCTTCCGAAGAATAACACTAGGGCTTATTTTCGGGGGATATGTTATATTTTTATTTATTAAAAACAAACTTAAAAAGTAGAGAATTACGAGATTTTCAAATATACAAACTATGAACCTATATATATATATTATAACCTATATATATGAACCTCGGTTAAATGTGATTCAAGCGAATTCTTTTCACTAATAAGGTTTGCCTGTACCTTCATGATCATCACTAACCTGTTAAACACACAAAAAATAAGACTAATCCACACCTCATAACAGAATTTGAGTGTGGCTCCATATTACTGAACTGCTCAAGTCTGTGGCTCCATTTTCTATCCTGTATTTCCAGGCAATAAATTCTCGGTTAAATGTGATTCAAGCGCATTCTTTTCACTAATAAGGTTTGCCTGTACCTTCAAGATCATTACTAACCTGTTAAACACACAAAAAATAAGACTAATCCACACCTCATAACAGAATTTGAGTGTGGCTCCATATTACTGAACTGCTCAAGTCTGTGGCTCCATTTTCTATCCTGTATTTCCAGGCAATAAATTCTCGGTTAAATGTGATTCAAGCGTATTCTTTTCACTAATTAGGTTTGCCTGTACCTTCAAGATCATCACTAACCTGTTAAACACACAAAAAATAATACTAATCCACTTCTCAAAACGAATTTGAGTGTGGCTCCATATTACTGAACTGCTCTAGTCTGTGGCTCCATTTTCTATCCTGTATTTCCAGGCAATAAATTCTCGGTTAAATGTGATTCAAGCGTATTCTTTTCACTAATAAGGTTTGCCTGTACCTTCAAGATCATTACTAACCTGTTAAACACACAAAAAATAAGACTAATCCACTTCTCAAAACGAATTTGAGTGTGGCTCCATATTACTGAACTGCTCTAGTCTGTGGCTCCATTTTTAATCCTGTATTTCCAGGCAATAAATTCTCGGTTAAATGTGATTCAAGCGTATTCTTTTCACTAATAAGGTTTGCCTGTACCTTCAAGATCATTACTAACCTGTTAAACACACAAAAAATAAGACTAATCCACTTCTCAAAACGAATTTGAGTGTGGCTCTATATTACTAAACTGCTCTAGTCTGTGGCTCCATTTTCTATCCTGTACCCCCTCCAGGCAATAAATTCTCGGTTAAATGTGATTCAAGCGTATTCTTTTCACTAATTAGGTTTGCCTGTACCTTCAAGATCATCACTAACCTGTTAAACACACAAAAAATAATACTAATCCACTTCTTAAAACGAATTTGAGTGTGGCTCCATATTACTGAACTGCTCTAGTCTGTGGCTCCATTTTCTATCCTGTATTTCCAGGCAATAAATTCTCGGTTAAATGTGATTCAAGCGTATTCTTTTCACTAATAAGGTTTGCCTGTACCTTCAAGATCATCACTAACCTGTTAAACACACAAAAAATAAGACTATTCCACTTCTCAAAACGAATTTGAGTGTGGCTCCATATTACTGAACTGCTCTAGTCTGTGGCTCCATTTTTAATCCTGTATTTCCAGGCAATAAATTCTCGGTTAAATGTGATTCAAGCGTATTCTTTTCACTAATAAGGTTTGCCTGTACCTTCAAGATCATTACTAACCTGTTAAACACACAAAAAATAAGACTAATCCACTTCTCAAAACGAATTTGAGTGTGGCTCCATATTACTGAACTGCTCTAGTCTGTGGCTCCATTTTTAATCCTGTATTTCCAGGCAATAAATTCTCGGTTAAATGTGATTCAAGCGTATTCTTTTCACTAATAAGGTTTGCCTGTACCTTCAAGATCATTACTAACCTGTTAAACACACAAAAAATAAGACTAATCCACTTCTCAAAACGAATTTGAGTGTGGCTCTATATTACTGAACTGCTCTAGTCTGTGGCTCCATTTTTAATCCTGTATTTCCAGGCAATAAATTCTCGGTTAAATGTGATTCAAGCGTATTCTTTTCACTAATAGGGTTTGCCTGTACCTTCAAGATCATTACTAACCTGTTAAACACACAAAAAATAAGACTAATCCACTTCTCAAAACGAATTTGAGTGTGGCTCCATATTACTGAACTGCTCTAGTCTGTGGCTCCATTTTTAATCCTGTATTTCCAGGCAATAAATTCTCGGTTAAATGTGATTCAAGCGTATTCTTTTCACTAATAAGGTTTGCCTGTACCTTCAAGATCATTACTAACCCGTTGAACACACAAAAAATAGGACTAATCACCTTTGTGGCTCTGTATTACTGCATAGCACCATGGCCTGGCCCCGATTTCTCCGTGGCCCGGCCTCAATTTCTCTGTGGCCCGGCCCCAATTTCTCCGTGGCCTGGCCCCATTTCAGTGGCCTGGCCCCAAAGCCACAAAAAAGTGACCACTCCCTCTCCATAAATGGCACTTTTGAATGTTGAATTTATCGACGCAACACTGCGATTTAGGTCTTTTGATGGCCTATTGAGATGTTGTGGATTGAAATGAACCTTTCAGCGAATCACAAACACAACAAAGTAAGCCCAACATTATGTATAAACATACCAGTTATGTAAGCATCACAAACTGCGTTGAAAAATCTGTTCAACTTCTTGTGTAGTCGTTTTTATTTGAAAAAATATTCGCGTGCATTACATCAGTTACCAATTTGAACGAAGCCGACATGCTTACATGTCCTTCTATTTTAGAATGCCATGGCTGTCAAAAAATTCTGGGACAACCGTAGCCCATCCCATGACACCAGACATCAATCGCGGTCATTCCGGGACGGTTGGTAACCTGGAGCTCCCGAAGTATATGCATCAAGATGGCGCACAACCTGAACCCTAAACTGGTACACATACCTTGTTCAGGATGTGTCCATCTTGGTGCATATACTTCTGAAGCTCCGGTAGCCCTACCTCCTCTGCCCCTCGTATCAAAATTTTGAATGCTATTTTTCTTTTTATTCAAACTGGTTCAATATTTATTTCTACAAAAATATAAATTTTACAAACATGCAACATGATGAAAAATAAATTATCGAGATTCATTCAACAGAACAGTCACGTTCGCTTCATTTACAAAGACCAGTGATGTCAAACATGATAAAACCAAAGCTGTCTTTAAATCCACAAATATTTTTTATTTTGCGCCATCTACTCAGCGCTAACACATTTACTGCAAGTAACTGAAATTTATTATTTTCCGCTCTTTCCTGCAATACCACGTAGATCAGACAAAACCATTCCTCTATACTTGGATTCCAACATTTGCATATAATCCATGTACGGGGCTACATTGTAGCCATGAAAAGGGTTTTCCTGATAAAAAATATTTGTTGAAGTAATAAAGTAAAATATTTCACCTGTGGACAGAAAAAGTGACAGGACGGCTGGATTACAAATTTAGTTAGATATATGAATTGCAAGTCAATGAATCACAATACTTTTTTAGCAGAAGTTATCTATATTTGTAACCTATCACCAAAGAGTCAATTTGAGTGGGGATGCTGAATGGCAGCTTTGTGAAGCATGTATTAGTCATAAAACGAGAATATCGGTCAGAGACCGAAGACTTATGATCGAAAAACAGCGCTCTTACTCCATAGTGACACCTTGTGTCCCATCACTTATTAATTGATAACTTGCTAATTACACGACATAATTCATCCAAAATCTATAGGCTTCTGGTCCGACATAGGATGAATGCACACACAAAATCTGGAGCAGATTTAATCTCGCTTCCGTGAGATATCGCGTGCATCTAACAGACAGACAGACAAATACCTATCAACATACTTACCAATTAAAATCGATAAGGAATAAAAACATCTACCTTCAAAAATACTTGTAAATCTTGCGTTAATCTGTGCTCAAGAATTTGTTCCTGCAAATGTTTGAAAATGCTGATGCAGATGTAAACCTGGAAAGATGAGATGTAACATGAATTATGGTTGGTAAGAGCAGCATGTTCCTAACGACTTATCCACTAAACCAGGGGTTCTCATACTTTTAGTGTTATGGGAAGAGTTTGACTATTATTTTTGAAGCCCCATAAAAGAGGCGCTTGACAAACATATTTTAATAAAGCAGTGTCGAATCGTGGCAACAATGCAGTAACTGAAATATGCCATTATCTATTGAAACTTCTAGATATTGATAATGTCTTTATTGCTTATATCGTTATTAGGACAGTTATACAATTAGCCAAGTTAGTATTTTAATAAGTAAACGAATAACCTGCGGAGCCCTTGGGTTCCTCTAATGGAGCCCCGGGGCTCCGTATGAGGCACTTTGAGAACCTATGCACTAATGCAGTATAACAAAAAATATTTCGAAAAAAAATTGTGACATAAGATTCCCCTATGCATCTCATGGTGGAAGGAAAAACGATCTAATCAAAATGTTGGACCACAGCATCCTTCCCAATTACCAATTCAGATTGGGTAGCAGTAAATCATTCAATATGTATTTCACGAAAAAGAACCATTGGTCTACAGCAGAGGTGTGCAGTACAGGTGGGCCAGATACAACTAACAGAGTGAAAACCGTGGGCAGCACCTTTATCTAACATAGGCTTTCTAGTAGTTTCTTTCTAGCAGGCACAAAAACTTTGGATATTGATCTTAAGATACGATTTGTTCGCTACGCACAAGCTCAGGTATACGCTTAGCAATGCAAAGGAATTGAAATTACTCGCACACACTAGATTAAACTAAATTAAAAACCTGTTTCGCGGGCCACACACCATTCAAAATCGGCCACACGATTTCTTCTTGTGGGTCGCATGTTACACACCCCTGGTGTACAGGTATAAAGTTGATTTAATATTGATCCAAGAAGCAAGTTCACTTTTTTATTACCTGATAATCAGTTCCCAATATAATAACAACAGCAATGTAATGATTAATCTGATTCCAATCCATGTAATTCCAGAAACATTGCTGTAACCAATGCTGACATATTTGTGACGGAGTGTAACCACACATTCGAAATGTGGAGTGGACAAGTGGAAGTTCATTCTGAATTAGAACGAAAGAATTAATAAAGGAAATTGTTCTGGTTCTGCCATTATTATTTTACTCATGATAAACTTAGAATTGCGAGAAGGATTTACATAATAAGGGAGAGGAAAGCCACTAAGATGGCAAACCACAGCCTCACGTCCAGTTATTAGTTTGCCAGGTATTTGTTTCAGATGCATGGACGTGATGGTGGAAGAAGCCGTAACCGACCAGCGGTTATGTGAACCACCCTACGTCGACGAGAAGTCCAGCAATACTCTCGCACGCCTCACCGCTAAGCTTTGCACAATAGTTTTCTGTGTGTAGAAACAGCTTAGCGGAAGGATCACAGATTGAAAAAGTTATGCATCTCAAGAGACGAACTAGTAATCTCATTAGGTGCTAGGGTACAAGAAAACAAAAGTATATATTTATATAGCATAAAAGACAGTAGATTCCAAACTCTAAAATTTCAATTTTGCTTAAATTACATATTTGTACCTTGAGTGTCGCTGCTCGATAATCAGCTTGGTTTCCTGCGACTTCCCTTCCCCAGTAAAACTTTCTAATTATCATTTTATCATAACTTGTATTTAATTGTTGTTGATTTTACTGATTGGAAAAAATAAACTTGATTTAACTAGATCTGTTACCTGTAAAATTAATTCCACATGATGTCCTGTGTGTGAAAATAAAGGATGTATTCCACTCGATCGCATCTCTTTTGGCAAGTGAATCTGGAATATAAAAATGAAATTTTTAATGGCTGGTGCATCATGATAAGTGTTAAAAACACACTTGTGATTGTACTCCAACTACACTGCATGGTTTCAAAAGGTTTAAATCACATGGAGAAAAGTTATGCGCAAGAAGATTGCTGGACACCTTGCCACAGCAGGGTGATTGAATACGGCTACCTTCTCCAACCTTTAACCTAACACTGCTTGAATCTACTATAATGAGAATAATATATTGATTAGCTTTTCCCAAAGCAACAAACGCACATAAAATAAGAGGCTTTTACTGCTAAAATTCTTTATGCAGGGAAGTAACTAATACAACCTAAACAGTACAGCCATACAATGGATACAACTCCATGCATCTTAAGCAATTAACTGACTGACTAATTCCATACGCAACGTGGAGTGGTAACCATACGAGAGGCGGTGGTTCGCCTAATGATTAGACCGCCTCATCATCTTTCTTCTCCCCCTGGATAAATATGTAAATCCTATCCTATAACACTGGCCATGGCATTGAGGATTGATAAATTTATTTTGCACTCTTTGACATGTATCGTCTTACTTCATTTTGTGCAGGACTATTCAAGCGATTGATGACCATCTTCCCATGAGCACAACACTGACAATTCCATAAGTATATACTTACACTAGCATGTAGTCTTGCTGGCCACAAGAATCCTGAGCAGAGCAGGTCAGAAAATTTTTGCAGAAAATTCCACGTCTTGTCTTTGTTTCCTCCATTCATCAGGAATATGGTGCTGACAAACCAATCAAAACCATGGTATGGTCCTTGCAGAGTTTCTGATTCAAAATTGTAGAATTTGATAAATGTTATGTTATATAGAGCCACAAAAGTGCATATCATACACATGGTATATATTTATCTTAATTTCACTTTAATGATATGCAGTTTTTATCACACAGCTATTTTTTATATATTTTTGTTCAGTTGGAAAACACTATACAACATTGTACAATTCTTTATCAAGTTCATCCATCTAAAATGAATGACTGGTTAATTGTTCCCAAACTGAAAGGCCATGTAATATGTCTAGGCTGCTATATTGTCACATTGTCATCTTATTTCCTTTTCTCTGCCCGGGATAAATACAGAAATACTATCAAATATATATATATGCGCAATTTTTGTGTTCAACTTACATAGACAGGCCGAGGTTTGCCATGAGTAGGTCGTCTATTTTCTTTTCTCTCGCCCGGGATAATACAATTCCATTCTATTATAATTTATACTCACTAATCTGCACATTATTGTTTTTTCCACCGCCAGACACTTTCTCTTGCTGATCCTCAAGCATAGTTTGACAATGTCGAAGAACGAAATTCAAATTATTCGCTGTGGCCTCTGTGCTACTCTTCATTAAGTTGAGATGCTTACCATATCTTACCGTCATTTTGATTCCAGCAGTGGACACAGGACTTAGGGAATCTTTCAAAGGTGGATCTAGAATTAAAAACAGTATAATTTATTCGAAAATGTCGTTATTTGTGGGATTTTTATAAGACGTATCGATATGCGTTTTACCCCAGTTAGCATCACCTGCCCAAATTGCCATACTGTATTGGGTACTCCCGAAGTATGTGAATCAAGATGGCAGACACGGGAACGTAGATGTCTACCAGGATAGGGTTAGGCTATAATTTTATTCCATTTTTACTTATTTCAGTTCTATTACGAGGTCGAGGATTAGCCAAGTGACTCCCATAGTATTTGTACCTAAAATTATGGCCTAACCCTAACCTGTTACACATACTACGTTACGGTGTCCGCCATCTTGGTTCACATACTTCGAGAGTACCGAGAGAACATTCTCGATTTTTTGCGATTTGCAGAAACAAGATTTTTGTTCATGAAATAATAAGCCTGCGGCGACGGAAAATAAAATTCAACAAAAATATTTTTAAAGTATGCGCACCAAGATGACGACCAAGACCTGAATCGAAATCATTGACTCACCATTCCGCTTTATATAAATGTAGTCAATACCTAGATACCTTTTTCATAGTAAAAATCCAGGAATGTGGAGGCATAGTCTGGATAAATAGTTTTGCATGTTTTAATTCTTATTGGAGACAGAGTTGTCATCAGAAGGTCAAAATTTTGAGATGGAGTCTGAGCCAAATTTTCCTCATATTAAAGTTCTAGTCAAAATTTTTCCAAACTAGAATCGGAAGTCAGAGCCGATATTTTTCCAAGCCGAAACCGAGAATCAGAGTTTGGAAAGTCGACTTCGGAGCTCTGGGTTATCTCATAATCAAGAAAATCAATTACAACAAACCTTTAATAGAAGGATTAGGAAACAATCTTTCCTCTGGCATTCTTTCTTGAGCAACAACTGCTTTGTCTAATAAATCTGCAAGTATGCTGCCTTTCAATACACCTGGACCTGTGAGATATTTTTTCTTAATTTAGATCGTATCACAATTATCCAATATCAAAATAAATAAATAAAAATTAAAATTGGCTTCTATTTGAGCTAGGGAACAGCTATAATGAATAGTTACATTGAACTAACATATAGAAATTCCACATTGGCATCTGTGCTTGGTTTTTAGCACCCACTGATACCCTTCCACACAACCCCGTTTAACCGGGACAGTCCCGATTTTAGCAACAGAAAGAACAGAAACCTTTTCACCTGATTTTTTAGGCGCTTCTGAAGTATATGCACTAAGATGACACACATCCTGAACATAGTACGTGTACCAGGTTAGGGTTCAGGTTATGCACCATCTTGGTACATAAACTTCGAGAGCACCGTTTTTTACACCTTGGATAGAATTATATTGAGTCACAGAACAAGATCTCATTGCTCATTATCCCGTAAATTTTTGAATTTCAGAGTGAAATAATGTTATTTCATAATACAAAAATACAAACCTGATATCATGGTTTTAACAAACATATCTCTGCATTGTTCCAGCCACCCACGATTCTTATCAGATGCTTTTGTTTTTGAGAGAAAACGGCTGACAACACTTTCTGAATAGAAAAAGTAAAATATACAATACCGGTATATTCTTTGTGAATTTGTACTGGGCACTATCTATTTTATTTCCTTCAGTACTGACGACAAATTTTTCAAGGATTCTTTTCGAACTTTTCAAAACCGGAATTATTTGAGAGAATTTGCTCAAATCAAAACCACAAACACGCCAACTCAAAAATAAACAAGAATCATCACAGAAAAAAGGTGGTGAATTCTATGTATACCAGTAAATGAAGATTAAAGCAATAATTAAAGCATTTTATTTTTTAGTACAATGGTTCTCTAACTTTTTAAGCCGCTTTTTTAGAATTTGTGAAGTCTCGCGCCCCGCCTCAAAAATAACTAGCTAACAATAAGCTACAAATAACAGATAGTAAAGCAAAAGTATGTTTTATTCAAAATAACATTCAAAATAACAAAAAAACAAAGAAATGTTAATATCCAAAATAAGGCGGGCAAGATCACATTTGACAAATATTTTTATTTTCCATTATCTCACGCCTCCCCCCCCCCCCCCGAAAAATTTCTCTACCCTTGTGGGCCGCGCACCAACATTTGAGAACCACTGTTCTAATGCTATGTTTTCAAAAATTTATTTGATTTCCAGCTTGGAATGAATGATTTGAAGAACTGCTAATATTTTCACTCACACCCACCTTTTTTGACAGAAGATTTCCCACTCAATGTTGGTGTATATTCTTTAGGAAGAGGAAACTTATTAAACAAAGGCCACGGATACGCAAGTTGTTTTGATCCTTTGTGAATCATTGGTTCTAACGATCGAGGAGGTATCCGACGTTCCGAGGGTCCTCCGATCGCTTGAGTTCGTACAAGAATATGGTTACGATCAACCGATAGAGCGTCGATAATAATATTTCTGAAGAAAATTGAAGATATGGTATTACACGAAAAAATGAGAATCCAAAATCTTAGGTCACGGTATTCAAACGGACGCTGCATGCATGCATGAACGGACAGCAGAGGCGTATGGGGGGGTCCTGAAATTTTTATTTGGCAAGTTAAATCGAAACAGCTAGCGGGTCCAATCGAACGCTGGAACACGCGTGTTTTTATTAGGCTTGAGGGTCTAAAAAGCACTTTAAGCTACGAAAAATTGCTATCCATGATACAGAAAAATTATTTTATTTTTTTGTACATTTCAAAAGGGAGGGGGGGGAGTTCGACCCGCAAAACCACCCCCTGGCTACGCCACTGACGGACACTCTAGTTTTTTGAGTTGTCGAACCCTGTGTCACATTCACAATAATGCAGTATATCCAAGACCCGTATTGAAGAAGTTAATATTGTCTACCTACAATCCAAAACATTTGAGTACCTATTCAAAGCTAGGAATTCACTTAGGTGCAAAATGCACCACCAAAGTTTCATATAGTCCCAGTAGATATTGACATTTCATTAGTTGCTTGTAACTTTACTCAAAGATGAGACTCTTTCACATTAAAGTGAGTGCGCTTGACATTGTGCTTTGGGCAAATATTTAAAAATAAAGTTAATTTGATAAGACTACTAATATGTACTTACTATTACTCAAGTCATAAAAGTTTTTTATCAGCTTATTGGCTACCGATCTTTTTCGATATATTTCTCGAATTGTCTATTTTAAATCTCTTTATTCCTTCCTCACGATGCTTATTTTATATTTGTTCCATTTTTAATGGATCCTAACCTAATATTTTGTGCAACTCCAAACTACACCAATTACAAAAGTAATTCAACACATTCTAAATGAAATCAGTGGCATATCGATAATCAACAATCAAAGCTGGGCCACTGTTATCAGAACAGCTATATAACTTTCTCAATTCTCTGAATATAACGATTCAGGTTATAAGTTCCAATTCCAATCAATCTTACCCTTCATAAGTGCAATCATCTTTCTGCATTTGCAGTAACGTTTGTTGGATGCTGTACTGAGTTTCAAGCAATAACCAGGTATCAAGACTACACGCCAATACATTCAACAACCTGAGTAAAAGTAAACTGTTTTTAAACGTGAAATATCCTGCGGCGAGATTTCTTGCGGCGTTTAGGGGTATGCAAATAAACATGTTTATGATCACAAATTTGACAACCGTCTAAAATTTGATATCACAGTAAATATATCAGCAATTTGGATAGCAGACAAATAAAAATCAACAAAGTTACATATAAATAGATATACATATAGGGAAGGCAATCCTCTCTACATCTCATTACTCTTCAAAGTACAACCTGCTCAGGGTAATCAGAGTTGTGACAGAAAGCATATTTTAAAAGCTTAGCACCATGCGCCAACTGTCAAAAGTAGATCAGAGGTTCCCGATGCCATATATCAAAATGACAAGCCTTGGTGATGTAAAAGAATAAAATAAGGATAAATCTTAGCATATAAACAGTCTATCATAACAGAATATACTGTTCATATGTTGAGACGTATCCCAAGTATAACAAAATTGTCACGAGTGACTGTGTCTAAAAATATTTATTATTTAGCCTTAGTCAAATTTACCTAATTAAGATAATAAAATAAGAATAAATATTGATCATAACAGAATATGTTAAATACACACAGTTACATTGTGGACAACAACATGTCGCAATATAACAACATATTTAGCCTTACTTAAATTTAGTTAAGATTATAGGTTATAGCAGTGGTACCCAACCTTTTAGGGCTTGTGGCCCACTTCCGGAAAGTTTAAGCACTCATGCCCCCCTGTTTATCATTCCAGTAGTATTTATAGTTTTATTTTGATTGATAGATTCCAAATCTCATTATGTTCAAACAATCCATGCTCAACAATGTGAAAACACCCTGTGAAATAACCTTATCAAGCAATGAAACTAGGAAGAACAGGATGTTTTCTTGTCAAGAGAAAAGTAAAATCAGTTTTGCGCCGAGCATTGTGGCACACCATCAACTAGTCTGTGGCCCTATTGGGGGCCATGTGCCGCCCGTTCGTAACCACTGGGTTATAGAAAGATTTTTAGATGCAACTAACCTAAGTCCAAACACGTGAGATTGTTCATGGTTAAACAAAGAATGAACTTTTGCTTCTGAATTTATCATCACAAGTCGATCAAACACTTTCTGTAACAATCAATGAATGTGTTTAAATATTTACTATGTAATGGCATTGGCATTGGAGTAATCGCCTGCAAATTTTTTCGAATTGAAATCTCTTTACTTCTGAGTGAGTGCAAGCCTTTGCTTTGAATGCATTCTCCCCAAAAACATATAGTAATTCATAATGACAGTAAGATAATTGCTAGTCATAGGCTGAGCTGAAGGTCCAGATATCATATTTTCTGTAAGACAAGCAGCTACTAAAACATAAGAATATGTGAGGAGTCACTATTTTTTTTCATTGCCTTTTCAATATATTAAACTCTAGGTGAGGTGGTTGGCATGGGATTTGAACCTGTGGCTTTTGATAAGCGATGCCAACCTAGTAAAACCTAATGTTTTAACCACTTGGCCATCGACTATACTTAAATTTTGATTTTTTTAAATACTCACCAATACAGAATCTGGAACTTCTCTGAAACTATACGACGGTTTATTTGGTAAAGTCTGGTGATGAAATATGTGAAACACGGCATCATAAGAACTCAGAATATTCACAAGCCCAATGAAACACTAAAAATATTGTTGAAATATGCTCAGTGAAAAATATTTTGCTCTAAAAATTGGAAAATTATACTGTCAAAAATGTTGCTTCTTAACTCAGATAGGCAAAAATTAGGGTACTCCCGTACTGTGTGTACCAGGTTAGGGGTAGGCCATGATTTTATTCCTTATTTTAGTTCTATTACGAGTTCGGGGACTGTCTGTGTTAGCCAAGTGAATATACCTCCTGCCAATAGGTTTCAGTCCATTCACACAACTTGATGTAAAGTAGGCGAACAAAATTAGTTACCTCCATAATTATTGGTACACACTTCTGGAGCGCCAAAATCAGTACCTTGGTATGAAAACTGCCCTTTTTCAACAGAGCCATGTTTTATGTAAACGTTCTAATCTATCTTCACAGTTTATAAATGAGACAATACCTTATGAACAGATTTATCAATCGGTGATATGGGGTGTGGTGGAGGTGCGGTCATTCTTATTTCATCCGAAGCACATTCAAGTCCAGCCCATAGTTCATGTACCAATGCCTTCTCAAACCCAGCAAGTTGGAGAGCTGGAACAGAATGGGAAAAATGTTTTTCAATAAACTCTATATCTACATAGGATTTCCTAATAACAGACTCTAAGGATGGTTTAAACTAATGATCTACCTCGGCTTCTCATTTAGTTACTAGGCTAAGCTGGGTATAGGAATAGCTGGACAAGTAAAAGTTTCATATCTTGGATGGTAGTAAAACAAAGAGGATACCGTATTTGCTCGTTTTGTAGCCCGGGCCCATATTTTTTTCAACCAACTAACTAACCGGGCCCTTATTTAAACCGGCCCTTATTTCAAGCACGGGCGCTTGTTATTTTCGATCGATACAATAATTAATATATTGTTATTTCAATTCTCTTTTGACTTTTTCTACGCACCGCAGGTACAAATCCACAAAAGAAAAAGTTTTGCAATGCCCTATCAATATTGAAACGCCGCACTTGGGCGTCGCGACGCCCAGTTTGAGAACCATGGTGTTACGTAATCAATGCTATCTGTTATATACTTGGACGCCTAAGGTGTGAGTGTTATCTACCGGCGCCCAAAATTCAACAGCGTTGTGACAAAAGCGCTTCTTATTTCCTATTGTTCTCTACCACTGAAAAATCAGCTTTTACATCGAGCGGGTATTCAAGCACTGGCCCTTATTTAATTTTATGTTCTGTTCACACGGTCGGCTATTCAAACGGGCCCTTAATCAAGATCGGGCGGTAAAACGAGCATATACGATATGTGAAAGACAAGCGGTCCAGTAATTTCCCCAAGCAAAATCATTGCCTACAAAAATGTACATTGTGTGAAAATATTGTAATCAGTGGTTTGGATGGCAAGCATAATATCCAGTGATTATTTAGCATAGCATGATGTGCAAACTGTCCGCAATATAGTTTTGAATGTCTATTCAAATCTTCATCGGGTCAAAGAATAGAAAATTAAAGTCACTATATATATGTACAACTATACAGAACCTATTCTTACTATCAAAATCAACCTAAAATCAGACCAGAGTGTCATCATCACAGGGGGTTAAACTATATAAAAATATATCTAAATATGAATTCTTCTTTATTTAAGCTAACTTACCGACAATTCCTGGAGCTGTTGCCGCAACTTGTGTCACCATTACACCATATCCAAATTTTTCACATTTGCTAACCTGAAAAACATACAAATCTATATAAGGGAATTTGCCCACACACTCACTCAGAAGTAAAGTAGACTCATCTATGACTATGAGCAATGTATAAGTGGCCTAGAACTACTGGGACTGTACTGAATTTAATGCAACTGTATAGTTACCGTTTTTAGAAAATTTGCTCAAATCAAGGCCACACTCGGAAAGAAAGAAGACTCATTCCTGAGCAAAGGTACGTTGACCAATGGAGTGCCAATAGCTACAGAATCAATATAGATTATGGTAAAAACCTGTAACTTCTTCCTATATCTTGTATACATGTATGAGACGCATTCATTGATTGCTCCAGTTTGTTGCAAAAGCAGGAGTCCCTGAAAAAGAAAATAGCACTATGTATACACACCACTAATGGTATCCTAAAATGGTTAGTTGAGTAAATATGCAAACAAACCACAATAGAGAAATGCAAAGAGATGTTTATCCTGCAGTAATTTTTAATATAAAAAAAAATTCTGTATTGATGATTCCCTGCAATTGGTTTTTGGAAAATACTTTATAAAATATATCAATGGAGACTCTATATATTGAGGAATTCCTGTGTGTTGCATCAAATACCTTTAGCATTATTCTTTTTAATTCCAAGTCACCACAAATAGTAGCATACTTGCTATTGGTATAAGCGATCGTCAAACTATCTGGGTGACTAACTACTTATCCTTCTACTATTTGGAGAACAGCAAAAATGTTGTTCGGCATGTACGGTATTTCCAAAAATTATGTTCTGTTGCAAATTAACTATCACGGCTACTAACACTGAATCCAAAACGTTTCCGTAGGTTGTGTTGTCGTATACTCATGTGTAGGGCTGTCCAAGCGAACCAAATATTCAAAATCGAATCGAATCGCAAATTATTCGAATCGTTTTTCGGCTAATTTTCGAATCGCTAAAATTAGGTACCGGTACATAAAGCGGAACCTTTATGGGATGTTTTTCATCGGGCAAGCGGCAGCGCTCCGAGCTCAGACCACTCTCGCTCTCGGTTTAATTGGTTTCCCGATATTTCTCTCGCCTTCATTTTGTGATAAACATGTCTTACTAATGCCAACCCGGTGGTACGTGATTAGCCATTTCATGCATGGTCATCATAACAAGGTATAATCGGTCGTGACGTTTTTGAGAGAGAACAAGGAGAAAAAGGAGACAATTTAGAAAACGATAGTTCTATAAATAGAATCGATTTGAAGCTGTTGAGTTAGTTATCATAGGAACATGGTACAGGCAACTCAAAGCTGAAACAGGTGTTTTGGGATCGTTATGATGGCAATACCTTCTTTGAATGGAATTTGTAATTACTTATGATGGCATTACTGTATTATCCATCTATATACCAAGACAAATAATTTCACTCTTGCATTTTGATGGCTGTTGTACACTAACAATATTATAGTCATCAAATAATATTGCCATCAAACTAGCTTGGAATTTTTAAATGCAATTTAGAACTTGAGCAACAGTTTCATCTATATTTTCGAAACCCAAATTTTGGAGTTCTCCAATTTTTTTGACCAGTTCATACAAGCGTGTGATCTCCTTTCATAAATCTGAAAACATTGTATTGCAAAATACCAGCAGTAAGTAAGATGTAACTGCACATACGTTACCGCAACATCGAAGGGCAGACGTTTATTGTATAATAGAGACAGATTAAATATTGCGCAATATTATTCGATTATCCGGTTCGATTCGGCAAAAATATTCGATTCGATTCGAATCAAAAAAGTATTCGATTTTGGACAGCCCTACTCATGTGGCAAGCCCTCTTTTGAATGCTCTGAGTGAAAATACGAGCTCGAGTTGGAACATGAACTGTAAACTCAACCTAGAATCTCAGAACTTGGAAAATCGACTAAACAATTAGAATGCTAATCTCTATCACACAAGGTGCATACTGTGTTTCCCCGAAAATAAGACAGGATCTTACTCCAATTTTCTTTCGAAAAAATAACACTGGGGCTTATTTTTGGTGGATGTCTTTTATTTTTAATTATTAAAAACAAAATTACAAAGTAGAGAATTACAAGAATTCTTGCTATAGATTAGGTTAAAACTATCGATTCGCGCTATTGACTAGGCCTTATTTTAGGGTAATATCATTTTTAAAACTCAGGATAAGTCTTATTATTGGGGGAAAGATAAGAGGCATTTAAAACATCTTTTTTCACAAATTTTTTTATGCCACATATGAATCTAACTATATTCAAAAAGTTTGACGATACCTTCGGTGTTGCAGCATAGTTCAATAAGTTGTCAATCAAATTTTCCTCCCATAGCAACATATTGTGAGATATTGATTGGCTTGGAGATATATCGGTGATGTCATTGTTACCATGGTAATCGTTACCGTCTTCCGACCCAGTTGGCGTTGACACTTCTCCGTGCTTGTCATGAATCTATGAACAATATGAAAAATTCTGCTATTTCATTTTAATTGAAGAGAATCACTTTTTATTCCGTCGACCTCCTCCATCACACTTTACTGCCGATTTCACTAGAAAACGCTGCTTCAAGTCATTACCGTACTAGTGCCAATGCACGATCTTCATATTTATATATTAGAGCACGGTCATCGAACTGAGTGCTCGGACCCAAGGGTGGCTTAATAGGGGGCGCAGAAAAATATTTCCTGACACTAAAAAATTAAATATTTATTGAATTTGGAACTAGTACTGTGAATCACCTTCACCAAAACATAGAGCGAAGATTCAATCTTTTGTGCGAGAATATGCAAGCACATCGTTCTCATTAAAGATAATGTTATTATTATTACTTTTTCATGTTTTCTGTATTAATGAATTTTGCTCTCTTTTTAGTTCCTGAACGAGAAAATTTGGCTGTGGCAAGCAGGCCGTGATGAAATAAGTTTGAACAATACTGTATCAGAGTATTGCTTCCTTGTTATTCTTCTTATGGCCATAACTGAATGAAGACTTTGCACAAATAAAATAATATCTTCCAACCTGTTTCCATGCTCTTGCAAGGCATTCATGCAATCTATATTCTTGTAGTAACGCAAGTCCTTCACATGTGTTGTACATTTGTCGACAAACAAATACAAACGATCCTGTGACGAGATAACTCTGGGTTCGTTTTGATAATGAAGGTAAGTTGCCACATAATGCTTTCTGTGCGAATTCAGCAACAACATGAGCGGCAGCTGAGAACTTTCTGTAGGAAAGAATATTTTTATTTCACATACAATATTTGGTACTCCCGTAGTGTGTGTACCAGATTTGGCCATAATTTTATTCCAATTTTCCCTATTTTAGTTCTATTACGAGTTCGGGGACTAACTGTGTTAGTCAAATAAATATAGCCCCTGCCCATATGTTGCAGTCCCTTTACACAACTTGATGTAAAGCAGGTGAACAAAATTAGTACCTCCATATTGGTACACATACTTCTGGGGGGCCATTTCCTCTTTGTCTCAAGATTTCAAGTTGTAACTTGTGAGGCAAATTCGGATAAAATATTGTGAGAATTCAAGATACCCTTTTACCTGGAGCCGATAGTTTTATCGGAGCATCCATACATTAGTTTATTCCTCCCAGATACAGTGGATGTGAGACAAGCTAGTATTTCTGAGATATGAAGCATGGTGGCTTCACTTGCCTGGTTTTCTGAATCTGAAAATTATACAAGGATGAAAATGAATAATCCCTGAATGTTACACAATAGATAAGAGGTGAGCAAGATTTTTGGATCAGGGGCAAAAACTTTGCCCACCTAGACTGACGGACGTAAAAAGTTACATTTTATAAACAAAATTTACAGTGTTACAAAAGCAAAAGTGTAAAGTGGCTTGTGCCGAGACTAAATTTAATCTGATCTCAACAATTTCCTTGAGCTTATTTCAACTAAAAGCTCAAAATTTGGTTTTAGTGTGGTTGTGGCAGCATCAGGTGGGCCAGATTGAATTACTCAATGGGCCGGATTTGGCCCGCAGGCTGTAGTTTGCTCATGTCATCAATAGATCATGCACCGATGTCTATTGGTGTACCGTTACAGTCATGTCTACTTAAGCCACTAAAAATTTAAGTCCGTGTTTTGTTGGTATATTGCAAGAACAGGCGTAATTTCAGAATTTCGAACGCCTGTATTCTGCTATAACAAAAATATTAAGGAATACAGAAAACAAAAACCTTGATTTGATATTCCTTCATGTAGCCATGACTTCACAGGAGACAACAGAGCATCGATAATTTCTGTGTTCAAACAATTTTCAACAAATGCACTCGAGCTACAGAGAGTTCGTAGAATCTAAAAATATAAATGTAAACAGTCGTTCCAGCATTTTTTGATACACTCCTCTTTAGAACTCTTCCGTCTCTCAAAAACTTGATGGTTGTGGACATATTTAAACTTATAGAATATTTGTTATATAGGATACCTATTACTGAATAGAATCCCCCCTTAGTCCAGCGATTCCCAAAGAGTGCACCGCAACTACTCCTTAGGTTTACAAATTTAAAAAAGGCAGAAGTACTCATTGACGATCACAAAAATGAGTATTATTTGAAAGCAGCATTTTTTTTCGTTAAGTGTGAGTTTTTCCCCTGACAATTTGGGGCCGCACGAACAAAATGTTGGGAACCACTGCCGAAGTGGATGGTAGATTATCAGCTATTGGCCATACCAGCAGTTCATTACATGTGACCAGATTTATGCCAGAAATTCCAGTTCTTGTTAAACAGTAAGTACTAAGTAGGGGGCAAAAACGAGAAATAAATTAAAAAATACAAGTGAATATGATAGCGAATAGTAATGTCTTTCATTTACCTTTCCCGCGAGTAACGCATATGAGATTCTATCCTGTCGAGCACCTTGCCCACATGCCAGAAATTTCAGTTCTTGTCAGGAAGGGGGCAAAAACAAAAAATAAAGTGAAAATAGTGAACAGAAAGTGATTTTTTACCTTTCCAGCGAGTAACGCAGGTTCATAACTCTTCTGGTCATATTTCGGTTTGTGTTTTGCAAGATTTAATATCTGTATGAATGGAACAATCAAGTTCAAGAGAGATTTTATAATTGATTAAACAAAATGTATGTAATTAAATTGAATCTGGATTTCTTGCCACCGAAACATGGTTCCAATGGGTTGGTATCTATGTAAACAATTAGTTTTCCCATAAATCCCAATTTGTATACAAACTCGAAATATTTGCCTGAAATTTTATATCTATTCTAACGCAGATCAGCATAATGCTTCAAACTATTTAGTCACATAGATTGTTTTATACTAGTACTGCCATAGGTTTCCACAACCACTGGTAGGTTGTAGAATTCTCCACCATTCATTTGCATTCATCTACCCAATCTGTACTATTAGCAAAGTATAAACTGAAGTCTATCATAAAATTAAATTGTGCCGTTAACCTTCCTCTTTTAGAAATGATAATTGATACCCATGGCTCGAACAAAAATCCATTGATTATGTTTTGTCTTAGATCGAAATAATTCACCTGTATCCATGTTATAACAAGAGTCTGGATTGAAACTTCTTTTCCTTGCCTTGTTCGAACTGGAAAAAGGTCGCGACCTTGCGAATAGAGTAGTAAACGACCAAGAACACACAATGAATGAATGAAAGTGAGATGCTCTAGTTCTGCTGGTGAATACTTCGTTCTAGACAGGCAAATAATTTACTCATGAAAATGATTATCAAGTGGGAATTTAGTAATTTTCAACACCAGAAAGTGGTTCCAGATTGGGGGTTAGAGACCCTCAGAGGTTCTTTGCATGCAAAACACAGAAACAAGATTAGCAAAATTTAGGAACGGGCCATTATGGTCTAGCTTGCTAAAACGATAAATCACAGGCAACTCCATAAACCAGGCTGCAAGGAATACCAGTTGTGCTGGTGAACACTTCTTTCTAAAAGAGGGCGAAAAATTTACTAATGAAAATGATTATCTAGGGTAAAATTAAGAATTTTCCAACACAACAAGTAAGTGATTCCCAACTGGTTGGGAACAGGGTGTTGTCCCCAAGATGTCACTGAGCTTTGCACAGAAATCACAAAAAAAGAAGCAAAATTTAGGTACCAGCCATTACATTCAAGCTTACAGAAGAAGACAAATGAAAGACAGCTCTATCAAGCAGTCCAAAGGATATACAAGATAAATCATTAGTAAGCAAACAGATTTAATTCTATAAAGTTAGATCACTGGCTGATCTGGACTCTATATAGCGAATAGCGATATAATTATACTGTGAGAACTTCCCATCATATCAGACAACCTGCTTTGAGTAGTCCGCAAGTCGCAGGTAAAGTTGAGTCACAAGTCGGTGCTCCCGAAGTATGCGAACCAAGATGGCGGACATCGGAACGTATCATGAGTAACAGGTTAGGGTTAGGCGATAATTTTTTTCCAATTTTCCTTATTTTAGTCCTATTATCAGTTCGATAACTAGCCAAGAGCCTCCCGTAGTATTTATACCTAAAATTATGGCCTAACCCTAACCTAGTACACATATTACATTCCGATGTCCGCCATCTTGGTTCGCATACTTCGGGAGCCCCCACAAGTCATCTGAATCTCAAGTCCGAGTCAGTTACTGAGTTAAGGATAGGATTTGCAAATTTATCTCAGGTGAGAGGAAAGGCAATTATGCGGCTTCATCATATGGCGAACCATGGCCTGCCTATTACAGGTATAGGGTTAGTTAGTCAGCAGTTACGTGATCTATCCTACGGCAGCGGGGAGTCCAGCAATCCTATCGTACATAACTATCCCCCCACGAAATTAGAACCTGCGGACCAACGCATGGTAATAGTGCAGTAGTGCGCGTTATCCAAACGCTAAGCACGATGCGCCACACCGCCGAGTCTCAATGGCAGTTGATACTCAGACTCAGAGTCATTCTATTCAGATGAATCAAGTCACATTGAGACTTTGGTAAATCGTGATTCGAGTAAAGTCAATATTTGGAAAATCCCAGACATTGCAGAGCACACTAAACCCACTACTGAATTAACTTACGAACCTGCGTTTTTCTTCTGCTATTTTATGTTGTTTCATTTTCTTCATCAAGTTTGTCATTCCACTGTTGGATTGTTTTATTCTGCATTTATCACAGAAACTGATACAATGTTCAACTGCATCTTGTAGAAAGACTCTGCAAGGAGATTATTGAAAATAAAAAATACAGGGAAAGCAGATTGGCGCACTGCGTTAGGTTTTATGAACAGGAGCATACAGGCATTGCATCTGTGATTACCTATGCCGATTCACAAGATTAAATACAGTGGGAGATATTTATGTGTGAGAGGATTGCTAGACTCTTTGAAACTGAAATGGAACGCATGTAGTTTAATAATTCAGGGCTGTGGAATCAGGAGTCAGAGGTCATATTTTTGAACTATCTGAGGTCAAGTTAGGAAGTGGAGTTGACATTTTAAATTTTCCAAAGTAGGAGTTCGAATTTTAGTATTTTTATGGCAATATTTAGTGTCAAATTTTCTAAACAGAATTCAAAAAAATTAAGTTGTCTAAAACTTCTCAACAGTAAATTTGAGGCATTACCTATGCCAAAGATTTTGCTATCAAAATTTGACAAAGTCAAAACAATTTTCAACCTAGAGCCAGTTGGGAGTCTGCGTTGACTGTAAATATAGACTGATTAACATACTGATAACCGGGTCTCAGTTTGCCATATATCTATACCGCCTTATCACTTTTCTTGCCCCTTAGGATAGATATATAAATTCTATCTTATTTGTTTACATTTTACCTGAAATCTTGCTGCATTTGTTTTATTACGACATATCTACTGTAATTTCCATGCAACCACTTTTTCAACCAATTTGCTTTTGTGTCAACGAGAGAAAAGAAATGTAATGGCGAAATTAACTCTTTAGCTCCACCCCGAACTGGGAATAAAAAAACATAAAAAATAAATTAACATTGAACATGTGACAGCAAACAGGGTTACTTGGTATTGCTTAGTTTACCTATATTTTTTATCATTACATTTATTGCAACATAGGTTCTCTGCTAGCCACTATGTATTTGAGTGTACACTTAAAAAGAAAGAAGTCAAAAATACCATTATTTTCACTATCAAAGAGACCATATTTATATAATCAGCTAATAACAATTAGATATGCATAGTGCCAACGTCACTTTACAGTTCATTTGACTTTATAACCAAATTTTTTGAATTTTCGAAGAGACATTACGGATGACCTGTATACATACCTCACTGCTAATAGTGGAATGAATTTTACCTGGTTTTGGATGTAGTACAATAATTGAGAGTGTACTTTCAACGATTGCTTCTAAGAAGTTTTCAGGATAACGTACCCATATTGATGGAACTTGCTGTTGGAACTCGTTCAAAAGTCGAATTCTGGTTTATAAAATAAAGGGGTCGATTGAAATTGAAATTTACTCATATGATTTAAGTAGCTCTTGAAATTGATACTCCCGTAATGTGTTAGGCCATAATCTTATTTCAATTTTCCTTATTTTAGTTCTATTACGAGTTCGGGGACTGTTTGTGTTAGCCAAGCTGAATATACCCCCTGCCCATAGGTTCAAGTCCCTTTACACAACTTGCTGTAAAGTAGACGAACAAAAATTAGTTACCTCCATATTGGTACACACACTTCTGGAACGCCCTTGTCATTTTATTGGGCGCCAATGACTCAGTGATGAGTCTCTATTACCTATGAGTAGGTGTGTAAGACCTTGCCTTAACCCTTGATCAAATACTTAGTAAAGAAACAATATTTGCTGGTAATGATAAATTATCCAAAATATTAAAATGGCAGAAAATATAGTAATGTTGATTGAATTGGCCATTAAATGAATCTTTTCTATTCACCCCATGTATGTGTTCACTCCGAACAAAAACTCTGCCACAAGAGCCACATATATCCAATGAACTGCTATTTCATAAGGGACAAAATCCTTACGATTCGCCATTGCCAGCTCAATTGATTGATGAGGTGGACAGCAATCCTCTTGCTCATAGCAACGGGTCTCTAAGCTTAGCAGAATTCACCAACCGCTGAACCACCCAACAAGACAATACCTACCTTTTCAATATATGAAACAACTTCAGGTTGGGTTAAATCCAGTCCATCAACTATCATTGGTAAATGATCATGTCTTGAAGAAGTAAATAATGTTTGAAGATGTTCAGCAAGGCAGGTGTACGTTTCTTTCATTATTTGGTGGTTTGAAACTGAAAAAGTTTTGCTACATATTATATGATATACAAATCCTTTTGTAGAAAATAAAGTACGGTAAATGCAAGAATATATCATATTTTCCGGCTAATATGGCAGTTTCCTGAACCACAGTTTTTGCTACCAGAATAAATATGATTTATTTCTGACTGACTGTTGAAAAAGCAGTAAAATATAATCAATAAAATAGAGCGGTGAAGAGAGAGACAAACTAACCCAATTTTTTTTTTTTTTGCATTGACATTGGGAGGTAATATGAAAAGCGCTAAAAGATGGCATCGTCTTATTCGCCAGATAGATTTATTAGCCAAAAAACACAGCAGCAAGATAACATTTAAAAGCATTGTGCCTTTATTGGTATTTCATTTTTCACCATACACTTTCTTTTTATACAGTGGCTAATTCATTGTTCACCAATTAGCCCTAATAAATAAATAGGGATTATTACTTATCTAATTACCAATGAAAATATTGCTACAGAACCTGCAAACATCTTAGCATGAAAGCTAAGAGCATCATGAGCAATATGGGTGTCATTGTCCGCTAGAGCAGCCATGAGAGATATTCTCAACTGAGACCAACTCTCACTCGCCATTACATCTGAGGGAGGAACTTGGCATAATCTTCTCAAAGCCTCTCTCCTCACATTGAGTGGTTTTTGACTGTCCATCTCATCGGCTATCAAGTGGAATTGTTTCTGTAGCAAAAATTTGAATAGAGTTATAGGAAACAAACTGTTTTTCTCTATGCTCATAATATCGATAAATGAGGCCTTTACCGAATATGGACTGTAAAAGCATAATTAAACATAAGTAACAAAATACAGGGCGCTTCCGAAGTATGTGCACCAAGATGAACCCTAATGATGAACCCAACCTGAACCCTAACCTGGTACACAAACTGTGTTCAGGTTGTGCGCCATGGAGGTCCAAATATAAATCATAAAGCGCCCAGTCAGAGTGAAAAGAAGATTTTTAAGAATAAAAGTCTCAAGTAAAATTCTTTAATCTGAACAGCTATAGCAATGAAAAAAAAAACTAACTCTCATTATAAAGAGGTTTAGTGCACTGGTTGATAATTCATCTCTCTTTATATTGCCGTGAATGAGACTCAAACACACTTTCCTACCAGACTTTGTTTCAAAATATTACCAAGTTTCCATTGTGCTTCTCTGGCCCAATAAATAATTTCCTGATGAGAACTGACGACCAAATTTAACCACACTCACCTGACTTAAGAAATATAAACCATCATGATCATATGTTGAACCTCCATCACTAAACACAGATTGATGTCTTCTACTTGGTTGACTGTTGGAATCTTCTTCTCCTATCGCACTCAATCTCTCGTCTTCTATACTTTGAATTATTGTCTCAGATGCTGCCATAGTCTCTGAGCATAGCTTTTTCACAATAGATGAAAATCTGAAAAAATCATGATAAACTCAAGAAGATGGATAGGAAGGACAAAGTCACTCATTGGTCTACCAATGATGAAAGTCAATTATGGTACACGTCAGTGGTGTGCAGTGGGGCGTTTGGCATGTTTTCACCAAAGCCATATTTCCAAACTCCTTGATGAAGTGGGTCAGAGTTGAAATTCAGTCAAAATTACAGACATTAATAATAATGAAAGTAAAAAATTTCCACAGAAAAAATATTAACTTCATTATTATTGTATAAAGTGTTTTTGAAGTCTATTTTTGCATATGCAAAAGTTTATGTAAATCAGAGTTTGGAGTTGTAGAAGTCACAATTTTTTTTAACTCGGAGTCAAAATTTATTTTAACCTCAAGTCGGGAGTCAGTTGTAAAATTTTTCCCCACTCCATGGTCCAGATTATTATGACCACAACAACATAACAATGTCTCCTCCATATAAGTGAAAATTTGCCTAGAGAAAAGTCACACAAATTCATTCATCAAGTATCAAAACTCATTTCTATGCAAGTTATGAACAACCACTTATATGTTAAAAGGTAATGAACAGTATACAACAAACCCTTTAGAATCAGCAACAGAATTGGTGACAAGTTGAACGAGAGTTTCTTGTCCAGATGTTGCGTTCATGCTGCTGCCTCCCATGCTGTTCTTTTCTATTTCTTCATCAATCAAATGTCCCATCGCTGATTCCAATTGATTGTGGATGTGACGAACAAAATCATATCTAGAAAATAACGGTTAGATAGTAAATAGCAATATATATAGAGATAGGGTTGGATGACTCAACCAGGGTTGTGGAATTGACAAAATGTGGACTTCAAACTCTGGGATGACAGAAATTTTGATTCCAACTCAAGCTCTGAACTACGAGAAACCAAAATTTTGATAACAAACATTTGTTGTATACAAGCCCTCTTTTTTTGTCTATTGCGAATGTTTTTTCAATTCCATGCAAAAAAAATTTTATTACTGAAAATCACTAAGAAAAATACAAAATTAAAAATTTCAACTATACTTCCAACCGCGAATGGTTTAGGTTTAGAATATACAATCCGATATCATGATAAACTCCGACCGAATTCACGGCCAAAACACCATTCAGTCCTTTGAGAAATTAAAAAAGTAGCCACCAGATATAGGTTATTTTTCAAACTCTGCCCTGATACAAAGCAAAGAATAAACTTTTGACTGTAGACAGTTTCTTAAATAGAACAAAGTGTGATGTTAAAATTAATATTGCATGAAATTGAATTTCAAGTTAGTTTTTTCAATGAATGTAATGATGCTTTTACTTGTGAAAATTTTCGTCTGTTTCTTCTAAATGCAAAATTGCATCTTCAGCTGCTTCAACTGAATCTGATTCTTTTATGATTGGTTCCACATTTTTTACCAACTGATGGAGATGAGACAAAACCTCTTCTGGGTCTGAATCCATTTTTTACACTAAAATACTTCCCGAGTACTTCTTTCTAATTGGAAATCCGAGAAAACACAGCAAAAACCCAAATACAACAAATTAATTTTGCCAAATATGTGTTTAAAGTTGCCAGAAGTTTTCATATTAATAATGCTTTATAACTTTGTCCTGTTACAAAAAATACAACAAACAAAAATAAAAGCCTATTTATTTCATTTTCGTTATGTTGATCAAATTTTTTATCAGTGATTATAGAATTAATGCAAACTAAAATGCATTTGTATTAAATGAAGCAAGAAAATATTTGTTAAAATATGGCAACAATGAACGTGTCTATGGACGCCTAACTCAGCCATGCGTGACAGTAATATACTTTATTTTTTATAATTTACAGTACAATAAAATCGATTTTATTCACGAATGATTTTGGCAAAATGTATTAAAAATTTTTGTTCAAACATACAATTTATTTGATTGAAAAATGATGTCAAAGTGTCAGAGCCATACACATGTGATGCTGACATGTGGGATATTTTTGCAAACCTGTTGAAACCACACGAAAATGAAGTCACACGAAAGTGACACGAAAAGTAGTTGGCGTACCGGTATGTGAAACATAATTAGATAGTGACATACATTGAAATCAGATTAAAAATAAAACAAGAAAATATAAAATTGCAGATCATAATAAACAAAAGACAGGCCTGTGGCTGCTTTCATTTTGCTTTGCTCGTTGTTTAGTGGTGTTTTTTTTTAGAGAGAGAGCGAGATTTATTGTTTCGTCAACAAGAAAACGAGCAATGGAACAATAAAGGGGTCTCGTGTAGTTTCGTACCTAATGTACTTCTAGTGGGCGTAGCATAACAATTTTTTGATATGTCAATCCTAACCCCCATCTGACTACGCCATCCGAAAATTAAATCACTACGACATCACAATCACGGCATAGAGCTTGCCAAATATACGCACGATCGACCGAAACGGCATTGGCGACGACGATAAAAAACTGACTGACGTTATCGGTCTCTCTCCTATTGGAATCGTTGCGACGAGAAAGCGAGAGAACTAACTGTTCGATTTCGGGTGCTCGTTTGCGTGTCTTGGATGGCAGTTCGTATAGTTTGAAGGGCTCTATTACGTCACTGTGACGTCGTAATGACCTAATTTTTGGATGGTGTAGTCAGCTGGGGGTTAGGATTGATACGTGAAAAAAATTTTCATGCTACGCCCACTAGAAGTGTGTTAGGTAAGAAACTACATGAGACCCCAATAAAATATATACAAAATGGTGACCGTACATTTGAACCCATGCGTATATCCACGGGTTCAATCTATATGCGGGTGCTAAAACCCATGGGTTAGGGATAGTATGGGTTTAACTATCCGTGAAACAAAAAAAATTCCATAGGTGCAATAGCATACAGGTGCAATTGTCATGGGTTGAAATGTACGTGGGTTCAAATGTAATGGAACCATACAAAATATGCAAGTCAATTCGGTATAAAGGGTATTTTTGCTCCACATTCTAACGTTTAGCATTTCAGCATTTAGTTTGGGATTGAAACTGAAATTTCTTGGTAAGCAACATCATGTAATTGTTTTAAAATACCGGTAGTTTATTACCAGTATATTCTTTTTGAATGTGAACTAATATTTATGGTGGTTATCATTTCACCATAGACAGATAGAATTGTAGTGTGACAAATTGTAGTGTATTCTGGTATTGGAGCTACTGTATTTAATACTGTAACTTATTACAGTATTACTTAGTCCAGTAGTCTGCCCTAAGGCATTTTTACAGGACATTAACAGATTTACGAAGAATTGAGATGGATACAAGCACAACCCCATGCAAAAGCTTTGACCAATATAATGATTTGCCACCTTATTACAGTATTATATTGTTCGGAAACGTCTCTTCGAGACCCTAGTGGTCGAAGTACTTTCTTTTTCTGTATTGGTCTTTTTTATAATATAGCCTACTCTTTTTATTTACTTCCATAACCTTATTATAGCAAACTTCCTGGACTTTAATGACTGTATGACCTTTTAACCTTTCATTGTTTGTGTATTCCAGATTAGATTTACATGTGCAATGTGCCTACTGTAATGTACAGTAGGAAGCTGAATTAAACATGAAGCACAAGATAAATATAGAAGAAGGAAATGACAAAAATGTGGAAACGAAGAGATCAAAACCGAGTGAAAACAAAACAAATTTCAACAAAAAACATGAACCTTTTACTTCACTCGAGTTCAAGAACTTATTGAAAGAGCCGGATACAAGATTTCAAGGGTTAAAACGTTTCTCGTCGGCATGTGAACATTATGTTCCGAGTGACAAAAATGGTGTTGATATTGTCCGAGCGTATATCAGTTCTTCCCCGGATTGTTTGGAAATTTTTAAATGTTTCGGATCTCATAGTTCGTCTGACGAACTTGCAGCTATATTTCGAAGTCTTTTACATATCTTGACACGTACAGCTGGAGATCTTAAAGAACTTTACGGAAAAGTTGGATTCAATATTTGTGGAAGTTTAATTCAAAGTCATTTACAAAAAATATATCACGCTCTAGGGCTCCGACAGTCACCTCGGACAGTCTCACTAACATTAAAAATGCTTACAATGATGGTTATGCAAAATAAAGATGCGGCTAATGAAGTAGCAAATAACCTCGATTTTAGTTTGAGATGTTTCAAAGATGTTTTGAACAAATTAAAAGGGAAATTGGGATATGAGATTAGAGTAGCGTACATTCGTTTTGTTTTGTCTTTTTTCATGGCTAATGATGTCAACACGAGCCGAAAAATTTTAGAAACTCAAGGGTTGATATCGGTAATTTTTAAAAGTCTCAAATACGATTCGGCATCAACAGTTCAACTTGTGTTAACTACTCTCAAAGAAAAGGCAATTGAAAATATTTTGATTCCGAAAACAGCGAAAGTACGTTTCCTCGCCGAACCTAAAGTCTTGGTTAACATTGCAGCATTATTCCAGTGGGATGGAGTAGTAGACATTGTTTCTGAATCTGAAAGTGACATAAAAGAATATGTTCGAAAAATAACTTATGAGTTTCTTTATAATTGCTGTTGTCCTTTCAAATATGGTATCAATTTTAAAGATAGGACATTAGGCATTGGAACGAAGTCGAAAAATCATGTTTTGCTTGATTTTGTAACAATTCTGCTGTCTTCAACTACGGATCAATTAATTTGTGACCTCATAATTGAAATTTTGAAAGCTTGTCCTGATTTATTGCCTCGTGTGATGGCGGATTATAGGATTTCGTTAGAACCAAAGTTAAGTGAAACTTGGTTGGTGAACTGTAAACTGACAAAAAGGATTTATGAGGCACAACCAGATATTGCAAGCGCTTTAATACAAGCGACATCCAACAAATCTGACTTTTCTCAGGAGAATGATAAAATAATGATTCAAGATTTTGTCAAAATGGCAGTTAATGGACTATTTTCTGCAAACTATACAACGACTGTTCTACGGCATTGCCTCAAACATAAATCAGCTGAAATAAAAATCAAATCTTTGGAACTTATGTTATTATTTTTACAAAAAACCCAAGCAAGTATGAAGTTTATTTCAGAAAAGGAAAATTGGTCCACGACTATTTATAGCACAGATGAACTTGAAATGTTTTTGACTGGACTGCAAGAAACTTTGTTCAAAACATTTATCAGTGTACAACTTATCACTTCTACATGGAAAGAATGTTGCGAGGAAAATACATTGGACACAAAAAGTATCATATTGAAAATTCTTTTTCTTTTACGTGATATCTTTCCAGACATGATAACCGAGTCAAAATTTGACCTCACAAAATTACTTTTTGGAATTAATATTTCTGAAACTGGGGATGAAGAAAATGTACTGATTTTAAAAATGCTTTCCAGTGCTCCACATGAACATAAATGGTTTAAAGTTGTGGAAAAAGGGCAATCTCCTTTTCGTCGTTTAATACAAATTATTTATGACTGTAAAAATCATGTTTCCGGAACTTGCAAAGAAGCTATTTTGTTGTTTGAAAAAGTTTTGGTTGCAGACAAAATTTTGAAAGAAAACGAGTCATCAGAATCAAAGATTTGGATTCAAAGTTTGATTTCTAAATTGAGGGAACACAACGATTTTATTGTATTGAATTATATTCATGATATATGTAGCCTTGTTGTGCGGAAGCCTGTTCACTACAATAGTCTTTTGGCTTCATTTGAACAAATGGGAATGAATAATACTTCAGAGACCAAACCAGTTGTTGAAAAAGACAGAAAATTTTGGGAATCTATCCCTGATGTGGTAATAGAATCACACAATTCTGAATCAGTTGAGACATCACAGAAATCTGTTTTCATTGCTTCGCAAGACCATATCGAAAAATTTTATGACGACGCTGATAATATTGACTTAGGTAATGGTGAACAAAAAATGTCATTATTTGGCATAGCTGCGTTGGATCATTTGAAATCCTGTCACTCATTTGGAAGTGAGGAAAAAGCAACCTTGGATTCATATCTCAGTACTGTAATGATTGGCCTATTTCACTCAGTCAAAAGTTTCAAAGATGCTCAACGGTTTGTTCGTGTATTCAAAGCTTTAACAAAAGATGTTGATGAATTTGATTCAACTTTTTCTGGTCTGGCAAATTTCAAAACGTTTTTATCAATATGGCTCAGTAGTGAAAGTGGAAACTTTGTTCCGAATGAAAAAAATATTGAAAGCTTCGTACAAGGCTGGTTTTGGCAAAGTTACAAAATCAAGAAAAATCTCAAGAAATTGAAATTGTTGGAAAAAATTAGGTCATGGGTTTCAGAAATACATGGATCAGGAAATTATTTTCCTGAAGTTGAAATATATCAATTTAAGTGTTTAGTTCAACAGCTTTTACTTTATTTTGACACTTTATGTGGCTTTGAAAAGGAAGGCTGTACACTACCAACAAATTCGACGAAAGAAATTCTATACAGTATTCTGTTCTTACTCAGAGAGGCATCAGAATTCTACAGAGATAATCAAGTTAATATAACCAAGACTGGTTTTTCAAATAATAGCATGGAAGTAGATTGTCCTTCAAAGAGTATGACTA